TGTGCATGCACTAGAGCACACACACACACTCAATAAAAAATAAACAACTAAAGTGGATTATCAAGCTGGCTCATAGCTGTTGACTGACTTGTATCCTTACAAAATTCCTACGTTGAAATTCTCATCCATGATGAGACTATATTAGATTACATAGCTTTTAAAAAGATAAAGTTGAAATCATAAGGGTGAAGCCATTATCCATATGGTTAGTGGCCTTTTTAAGCAGTAGATGAGAAATCTCCACCCCTTCTTCCCTCCTGCCTTCTCCCTCTCTTTTCACAATGAAAAGGTAATTTTACCAGCATGTCACTGTACCAGTACCCTCGTGTTACTGTCAGATTCTAGAACTGTGAGAAAGTTTATCTCTTCTGGTTGAGTGATATTTTGTTATGCCCAACACAACACACCAAAGACAGTCATATTAGGGGATAAAAATGGCCGTGAACATAAAGAAGGACAAATTAATTCTCATTTCTGAGTTCAAGAACAGTTTCTGAAGGAGAGTAAAAGAAACAGTTTGAATGCTAGCGTCAACAGTAGAAGTGAGCACATCTCTGCAAGATACTTCATTTGATATTAGGTTTTTAAATTTTTATTACATCCATTGGAATTCTTTAGAAAATATAACAAGTAAAAGACAAAAGAAAAAATGTCTATTATACTCTGCTAATATGCTATATTTTAATCCAATCTTTCTGAAAGCTTAATTACATAGTCTGTATGTGATTGAATTATCAAAGTATGCACTCAATGCGGATAGGTGAGAATGCCTTCCTCAATCTTTTCTAAAGTGCTGCTTAGCCTGTTAACTGATAATACTTGCTGAAGCAGAGATTAGTAATATGTGTATATCAGTAATATATGTATACATGCCAATAAAGAATATATTTCACATTTATGTGCATATCCCAATAATTCCTCGTAGGACCAAAGCCTGTTAGGTATGGACTATGCTCTCCTTTCTCCCTTTCCCATAAATCCTACACATCTATCATTTCCAATATCATTTTATTTAAGTATGACAAGAGAATGTAGATGATTGGGAAACAATGCTGAGGACAAAATTCTATCGACTTTTGATGTATTTTTCTTCTCTAATATTTTATGTTTTTCATAGCCAAAACAAATTTGACAGTACATGGGGTTGCCCCTTCAGTAGTCCTTATAAGGGTTGCTCTAACCTTCGTCGAAATGACTATTAACCGTTCATAATAATGGCTATGTGTTTATGACCTACTCAAGCTGTCCAAGTGGAGTTAACCAGTCATACTGTCCAAAATACGGTGAAGAAAATAGTTCCTGATAAGCATGGGTCTTGTTGTTGTACAGCAGCACCCACGCTCACTGTGGGCTTTTTTTCATAGTATTCTGTCTGTTGTTTTAAAGAGGGAAAGGAAAACTTGGTCTGCATAGTGGAATTTGGTCAAGAGAATTTCTACTGGTCTTGCCTATTTAAAAATACTCAGCCACATACACAGCAAAAATATGTGAAGACCGCCCCCAATTCTATTTTGTGTGAAAGTATAATAAATCTGTTAGTTTCCTGTGTATCATTCCATACGTATATAATTGTATTTATCTCTAGGTTATCCACACTGTGTATACATACTTTACATATGTTTATATGTTATGTTGTGCCAGGCATCAGACTAAGATCTCATTGTGAATTATTTTGCTTAGTCCTCACGATAACCCTCTGAGTTAATTTAATTGCTATCATCTCCATTTCACAGACTGGCAAAGTGAGGCTCAGACAGGTTCACTCATTTCCCCAAGATCATACAGCGTTTGTTTCCTCATGAGAGGGTTGTCATAGTAACATACACCAATCCAGTTTGATGTTTGGGTCAAGTAAACGCTTATTGAATGCCCATCTAGATATTCAAAATCATAGGTACCTGGAATGGATAGATGGATCTGTGAGCTACATTATTTGCCTCCATTCATTTATTGAATAGAGAAAGATTACAATCCAGATGTATTTAACAAACAGGTTCTGACAACTCTAGGTATAAAGAAAGTTCCGTAACCTGAATTTTAAAACTAAGCATTTGGAATATTATTACCTTCGTGAGATGATGAGTTTGGAACTCCAGAAATCAGTTCTAATGGTTATGACCCAGTAAATTGGACATTATATAACTAAGTTCAGAAACATTAGCTTGAAACAACACAAGGACTAGGGATGTAGCCAGTGGTAGAGCGCTTGTCTAACACATGGGAAACTCTAGGTTTGGCCTCTGATACATCACAATTAGAAGTTCTGTTTAGAAGGCAGGCAGTGCTCTATGGCAAGCCAAGGGAGGCGAAACCCGGACCATCATCAGGATTGGAGTCTCCGTTTCTTATATAAGAAGACTGACTGATGGCAGAGGCTTTAGATCTACAAAGGAGCTTGATTAGAATGTCATAGTATACCGTCTTAAACAAGAGCAGATAATTATACAGAAAATCAGAAGCCCTGAAGGAGAAAACCAAAAAGCTGTATATTAACAGATATTCTGTGAAGGACATACAAACATTGAAGAATTGGAACATAAATGGTAGAAAAAAATTAAAGGTTGCATGTTGAGACAGAACCAAAAATCCTACCTATTATGTAACACATTCCACAAGGCTGGCCAATTTCAACGTACACTAGGAAGGGAAATGCCTGTCCCGAGATGGGGGTGGAATACTTGAGCCACAGGAGTGCCCAGACTCCAACTGCAAAAATGCTAAAGGCTTCGGGAACCATTTGGCAATATTTGCAGGGATGGGAGAATTGGTGGATTATAGTCATAAACATGGTGGGGTCTGAAGGAAAGGGGCCAAAAGAAAGCCTTACTTAAAACCCTTCTGTGACTGTCTTTGTATTTCAGTGAGTGCAGAAGCTTTTAAGTAAACACATGTATATAAACATACAGAGTATGGCAATGTTGATAGAGAATAGGTACTGTGATGGAAAAATCTGACCAAAAAATGGAGAGAGGTAGGAAGAAGGGAGGGAAGGAGAGAGGAAGGGAGGGAGGGAGGGAGGGAGGGAGAGAGAGAGAGAGAGAGAGAGAGAGAGAGAGAGCAAAGAAACTGGAGTCCAGGATTTAGTTCTCACGACAGAAACGGTGTTGGAAAAAGTATTGCTGCCATCCTTCTCCCTTTAGAAATTCTTTTTTTTTCCTTCATAATAAAAATCCCGTGGCAGCTCCTTGTCTGGAGGACTTTAAAAATAGGAGCGATTTCATCAGTCTGGAATGGTCTGTGTCAGCACTTGCCCTAGGCAAGGTTGCCACACAGGCCTGAAACACCCCCACTTCCCATCCCCCCTGGCCAGCCCTTTCCTCTCCCACTAGACAACCCCATGCCCTTTGCACCCCCACATCCAGCTCCAGGCCTGACTCCCTTTTCTTGGCCAGTAACTTCAACATGGTCTCCCACATCAAATCACACTCTGCTTCCCTCAGCCTTCTCTCCAGGTGCGAGGGGGTGCAATCTCTTTTGCCCTTTGTGGCCTATCTGAGTTTAAAAATAGGGCCCTGGTTAACCCAAATGAATCTTAAATTGGAGTTCTGTGCAGTGTAACCAGAGGAGGAAAGGGAAGGGGGTGAGCAGCATAGTTTTGGTCAGTGGGGGAAATGGTGGGGAGGTGGGCTACCTTCCTGGAAGCTATTAAATCCCAGATGTAGACTGTTCAGTGTGCTGCCTTAGGGTGACCCCTGCTCTCCTAGTTGCTCTTAATTCCATGGCTCAGCGACTTGCAACTCCACTTCCGTGACCCCACACCTGGCTTTTTTCTCAGCATGCTGGGCACCCTCCGACTTTGCTTTAGCTAGGGGTTTTCAGCGGCATGTTTTTGTGACGGTCAGCCAGGGTCCAATTTTCCCATAGCCATCTTTCCTGCGACAGCCTGACACTTTGGGTTGGGTGATGGTGGCCCTTAAAGCCATACTGAGTTCGATGAGATTTGCACAGAGCCGGTCCTATTCAAAGTGCCGGTTCCCAGAGAAGCCTAAGAAAGTGGCACCGCTTTGGGCTCAGAGTGTGTGGGGGCTTTATGAAGAAATATGTGGGACTTGCGTGAATGGAACATGCTGTATGGAGATTTTGCGGGCAAAGCTGCCAAAATGAAATTTACTCAGAAAACTCATATGATGAATTTGATCAACTTGCGGTTAGGACAGCAATCCCTTAAAAGCCTCTACTGTACAACAAGCTCTGAGCCAGACTTGAGGAGTCACAATGAAAAGAAAGGCTGCTTCTTGATATGGAGGGATTTTTTTTTCAAATAAGGGGGACGGCAGACAAGTAGGGTAAGATGTGCCCTGCTTGAGGTAAGCCAGGGTGAATGGGAACTCAGGGAGCATCTGGAAAGCTCTCCTAGGGCAATGCTATCCGAGCTGAGTAGGAGTAAGCCAAAGCAAAGAGAGGTGGGAAGGGCAGGAAGGCTGTGGAGAAGGAATGACATGCGCTGAGGCTCGGAGGTATGAAACGCCTTGACATGTCAGGAGAGCTGCAGGCAAGCTGAGATCAGTAGAGAGCCATGCGTCCGGGAGATGGGGCAAGAGACACAGTTGGAGAGGCAAGCGGGCAGAGTGAGAGAAAGGAGATGCCATCCTCCCTGGCTGAGCAGTCAAGCTCTTCCCAAAGGAGGACTTGAAGTAGGGCTACGGTAGGGTCAGATTTACATCTTGATTAAACTGTCTGTCGGTTTGGGGAAAATCATTCAAGCTGCCTGCAATAAATGAATTAAGGCTTTTTTTTATGTGAAGGATAAATGTGTAGATCAGTGACTGCTGAGTGCAAGGTTATCTCTTCCAAGAGGGCTTGGCATTAGTCTGAGGAGTTCTTAGCGATGTGGCTAGAATATCTGTAGGGAGATCTGTCTGTATCTGTAAAGTTCCAAAAGTCTTTTTGCAGTGCTCAGGTCCTCTAAACAGAAAGGCTTGAAGAAAGGCATTGCTTCTCTCCCTTATCATGCATTCCATGCTAGGAACTCAAACTGTGCTACAATCTGTTTTGTTTAGCAAAAATCATCCGGAAAGGCGCTCTTTAACCTGAGCTGCAGCCACCTTAATCTTTCGGAAAAGGAATATTTTGGATTAGAATTCTGCAGTCATTCTGGAAATAATGTAAGTGCTTTTTGTTTTTTAAACAGAATTTTGTGTGTCTAGAAATGCTTCAAGATGCAGTTTGCACCTAGGTACACAAGGCTCAATCCCGTATTAAAAATGCAAAACCTATTTATACCTTGCAAAATCACTGTATTTAAAACCGACTTCCCTCCCCGCTGCTTTGTTTTTTAAGCTATCTTGGTTTGCCAAACAAATTCTTCTGCCTCATGACCCTTTTCTGTTACTCTTTGACCAGCTATCAGAGTCTTATCTATTTTGAATGGTTGGACCTTAGTCCCCAGAATTAAGACTCCTGACCTCATGACTGTTTAGGGAGATTTCTTTCCCCGTTTCTTGGGATCTAACTTTCAGAAGGTTCTTCTGCTGCATCTTGCCTTGGCATATCTGTAATCTGATGCCTTCCCAGAAAGGCTCATTCTTAAGTGAGCATGGGCAAGGGGAAAGGCGAGACTCAAATGTGAAGCCAGATGTTTTTATGAGTCCTCGTAGCCAGGGATGAGTCTTGCCTCTATCATCCTACCCAGGCAGGGAAGCGGTGATTGAATCGTCACCAATGCAGAGTTTATAGATCAGCAGTGTTCACTGTCACTGGGAACTACGAGGGGGGCTTTCTGAGAATGGGGAAGGTATATCATTGACATGACTGTTTGTTACCAACTATTTCTGGAAATCTAAATCGTCCTGGGGTTTGTTCATTTGATGTTGACCTTTATCTGGTACCAAAAAAAGAAAGAAAAAAACCTCTGTCACTGTTGCTGTGTTCTACCAATTGTTTCACTGATGTTACTGCAGGTTTGGCTGGAACTGCTGAAGCCCATAACAAAGCAAGTAAAAAGTAAGTATGGAAGATCACTCAAGGAATGGCGTCCTCAACTCACACTGGAAAAGTGATTTTATAATCCCACACAACCCCTCACCCTACTGAAATGGGGAAGAGGGCTTTAGACAGGTTGCCTCAGCCCCTCATCTGTCCAGTAAGTTTAGCAATAGAGAAAATTGCCTTAGTTTAGTCTGAGCTGAAGAAACTCATGTGGCTGGTCTTGGAGTACATCTGAAGGGTTCTGGTAATTACACCACCTGCAGATGGCGCGTGGGAGCGTATCTCACCGCGCGCCCTGTGAAGCCTCAAGCATCCTTAGTGTCAATCTCTGAGAATGTTTACCTTCTGCCTGAAAATTCTTTCCTTTCCTGCCATCACCAGCCTTGCCATTTGCTTCAGTTTATGTTCAGATGATTCCTGTATCTCACACGGTACCTCATTTGTGGGACAAGGGTTCAGGGGCATGGCCGTTTAACTAACTGCACAGGCATTTTCCTTTTGCAAGTAGATCTTAACACTTTGGGAAACCTTGCTTCAGTCTCTTCCTGGTTCCTTGGTCCACTCTGCTCTTCACACTTTGATGCCTCCTGTGACTCTACTTCCCCCAATTCTGTGGTGTATGTCACCCAATTCCAGTAGCTTCTGAACTGATTTTTCTCCAATTAAAGCATCTCTATCACTCTTCAAGGGATCAACTGAAATATATAAACCTGACCACACCACATCTCCCTTCTGCTTAAAATGCTTCCCTGGCTCCATAATTACCTCTGAAGTTCAACCTTTTTAACATGGTACGCAAAGCTCTAGACCCTATAGTAAGCGATTTGTCCCTGCCACTTACCATTTCAATTCCTGCCTCTGCTAAGGTACTTAGCTGTCAGTTCCTCCAGGAAGGCTTCCTCAACCTAGGCTGTGTGGTACTCAAATTGGTCTGTTTAATTATTTGTCTCTCCAACAAGACTGGGAGCACTTGAGTATCTTGTAATTTCCGTATCTGCTTAGAATAATATCCCGCAGTGAAGAGCACCCGGAAATGATGTATTGAACGGACGACACTGTTCCTTCTTGTGTACGGTTACTTTCAATCTAACAAACTTTATTCTTTTTCTTCTGGTACTGGGGATGGAACCCTGGACCTTGTATATGCTAGCAAAGTATCCTACCAGTGAGCTCCACCCCAGCCTCAAGTTTCTCATTTTCAAATGCAAGTAGGTGTGAACGTGTGCAAATGTGGTTTCTCAGGGGTATATTTTAAGATTGATAGAGACACTGGCCCACATTGTTTCACCTTCCTTTTATGAAACCCTTAGGACATCCACTCATGTGCTTGAGCTGAACCTGGGCCCTTTCCTCATGCGTGGCTGGACATTCACAGATAGTGAGCTGTAAATAGTCTTCTGAATAACTCACTTCTTAAGAAAAGACAGAGTAGGCCCCCAGTGGACATATCTTTACAAAAGAAACCTGAAGGGAGAAAGGGTGTGAAGAGGGGCTGATTGGGAGGACGTACTCAACTGCTGTACACATGGGGTCACAATCCAGAAATGAAAACAACATACATGTGAAAACCCAAAATGTAAAGAACACTGTGTGTGTGTGCCTGTGTGTGTGTGTCTGAGAGAGAGAGAGAGAGAGAGAGAGAGAGAGAGAGAGAGAGAGAGAGTCTTAACTGTTGTAATGAACATTTAAGAAAACTTATGGAGATATTGTGTTTTAAGATCCTAAGGAGGTTGTTTTCAAATTTATGGTGAAATTTTTCCCAGTGGACCCTGGACACCTTCGGGAAGAACTCACAAGGTAAAGTGTTTAACTGTGTGTGTGCTGAAAGATGCTACTTGAGAATACCCATTCTCCAGCTATTGAAGAAGGGGCTCTGATTCCCTTTTGCATGGCTTGGGATTATGTCATTCTCTGAATCAAGGTGAAGGGCTAGAAAGAGGGAAGATCTGGCTGACCCCCCAAATGTTAATCTCTCCAAATTTCAGAACTAAGAATAGATGAGTGGTAAACCTGGGTGACATTCAAAGCTTAATCCGTTAAGTGTCACAATAGTATGCTGTTCGATGCCATCTGTGTTTCAATCAGCATAGCTTTGGGGTGAGCCAATGCTCGTGATCATTGGAAATGAATGGCGGGAACCCATAGGCAGAAAGGGAAGCATTCTGTAATGATGATATATGCTTATGAGAAATGCTCTTGGTAATTGCAGTGAAAACCTACTTCGGCAAAATGGCATTGACACTGCAACACTCCCCCAAAACACAGTCTGCTTTCTAGACTGACACTGCTACCCATAGAAAGGAGTGAGGTCTTTTAGATTGCAGATAAGAAGTACATCCTGGAAGCTAAAGTTGACTGAGTGAAAAACCGCAGGTTGTTGGGCATTCATCTCCCTAGTGCCTTTCCCTTCCACAGGGAGCCGACTGACTTGCACCTTTGCACAGTTGCTTGCCTTCCCTGCTCTGCTTCTCTCCACATTTCGCTGTTGTCCACCACTCTCGCTTCCTTGCTGTGTAAACTAGCTTGCATTCACTAAATCTTGGTAGCTGGGTTTTAAACTATGACCAATTTTGATGGGGATGAACTTTCTCAAAAATACAAGAAAATTAATGTGATGATAAATATTTCATCAATTATTCAGAGTAAGGATTTGTAGCAGGCTGCTGTCTTCTTAGGTGGTGCTTGTTACTACTGAAGCAGTGTGATGCCTTTTTCTCAATGAGGGATAATCAAACGACAAAAGGTTTTCTTTTTCCTTGCTAAGAACAAACTTCAATTCCCTCTAGCTTCTGCAAAGTGACCGATTAATAGCATATCCAACTATATTTGAAAACAGGCAATGGTAAATGTTAGGGTTCCTGTAGATTTTCCTTGTTGTTCCATTTAAGCATACATAACTGAGCTGGGTGTGATCACTCATGCTTGTAGTTGCAGCACTCCACAGGTCGAGACAGGAAGAATGCTGTGAATTCAAGGGTAGCCTGGGATATGTAGGAAATTTTAGGCCAGCCTGGGCTACAAAGTGGAACCTGTCACAACAAACAAAGAAACACACATTCCAGCAGTGACAACTAAAAGGAATAAAAACCTACGTGTTGTAGAGTTTAAAAATATACCTTATTGTTTGGGGCCAATGCATGGACTTCTGAGACTATTATACAAAAATAACTATGTTGATGGAATCATTTCTAGGGCATTAGAGTCACTACAATTTGAAGAGACATAACAGTTAAAGCTTCCATGAACTAAATGATCACGTGTCAAGATTCTTCAGACCAGATTTTCATTTATCATCTGCAACTAGTTATCTTTTATTACATTGCCTTCAGGGCATTAGTCACTGAAAACTTCACATAGAATCTAATCTAGGATATTTTATTTTATATAGGGAAATAGAATAGGTAGTGCATGTGCTTGTATATAAAAGAAAGTACTGTAACTGATTTTTGCTCTGGACAAGAAAGCAGTAGAGTCTCTTTCTTATACACTTATTCACCAAAAAATGGGCCCTGGGACTGGAGAGATGGTTCTGTAAAAAAGCACTTGCCACACACGAGTGAATCCCTGAATTCATATCCCTGTAACCCAAATAAAGCTGGACATGGGGTATAATCCCAGTGCTTTTACACTGAGAGGAGAGGCATGCCTAGAAACTGGTAAGCCAGCGAAATTAATGTCTAAAATCTTATTTTACATAAGGTGGAAAGCAGGGACTGATATGCAAAATTGTCCTCTGACCTCTGTACACACACATATGAACAAGCACACACACACACACACACACACACACACACACACACACACACACACGAGTTCTCCTTTCCTAAGGCCTTAAGTCCAGTTCGGGGGAGAACCCTAAACACAAACCTGCATTTTATGGTCGCTGATGAAGGTTCCGCATGGCCGAGCTCATCAGCCATTAGCTGTCCACCTACTGTTTGTAATGTACTCAAATGGGCTCCGATTGGCGGTACCATGGCAATCTAGACGAAGGAATAAGGTGGGCACAGGCCTGGCTTGATTGCCTTGACTCCTGAGATCTGCTCTTTGGGTAGGGAGCCTACATTCAGCAGCAGATGTTAGGTTCCAGCACCGGTTCCAGTACCCTAGCGCTACAGTCTGCTCAGAAGAGCTTGGCGTCATTGTAAAATGTGGTGATTGCTAATTCTCCCCCGGCCTCAGGAATTCTTAGGACCCTACCTACCTGGCTGCTCTCGGTGTTCCCCAGAGTCTGTACTTGCTGGGGCTCCTGCTTCTCTAGCTCAGGATGAGGTCGTTTCCACAGCAGAAAGCACTAGTAGAGGATTGGCCGAGTCCCTCAAGCTGGTGGCAGGCTACAGTCAGGGCAATTCCTAACAGTCGCAGAACCTGCCAAAGTGCTGAGTCAGCCAGTTGTGGGCTGGGATTGGGTTGGTTCTGAAGCAAAGCCTATGTATGATTCACCACCCCCAAAGGCCTCTGATGGACTGGATGGTGTTCCTTCTTAGAATTAGCTTGGGTCTGGGAGAAAGGAAATTTTCCTTCTGTATTCCTGCTTCTTTGTCAAGATCTCTTCCTCCAATCCTTTGTAGGTATCTTTTCACTCTTCAAATCAAGAAGGACTTGGCTCTGGGAAGGCTCCCATGCAGTGACAACTGTACAGCATTAATGGTGTCGCACATCTTACAATGTAAGTACCAAAACTCTATGTCTCGCCCATTCGCCAGGAACAGAGCCAAACACCTCCAGTTTGCATGCTTGGCACTGTATTCATTCAGCATTAAGAGGAAAGAAGACCTCGTTCAGAGACAGTGAAGTGGTGCTTCATCACACTCATTGAGATCCGAATGAAATCTTGTCCCTTGTCATGACTGTAAAGCACGCTCCCTTATTTCTCTGAGCCTGATGTTCTTGTATTTAAAATAGTGACAAGAATGCCATCTCATGGAGGTGCTTCTGATGGGTAAAAGTAAGTGCTGGTTTTATCCTACTTCAATCTACCTACCCTGCTGTCACCGTCCCTTGACTTGCTGTCCAGGAACTGGGTTGAGTAATTCTTGCCTTGGATTTAACCAAGGAGTCCCTGCTCCCTCTGCTTGCCCTAGGCTATATGTCTGCTCCATGTTTTCTGAAGAGCGTAAATCATGGAGTGGGGAAGGTGGAAAGAGACTGAAAGGCACCAGGCTTAGGCCAGTGTTCTCAGCGTGCCAGCAGCCCAGCAGTTGGACTAGCAAGAACAGTGAAGGTAGACTGGAGGAGGCCTGGGGAAGCGTGGGGACCTGCCTGGGACGGAGTTACACAGGCCAGGCCATGCTGTTCCTGCAGTCTGGAGGGTAGGGGCTAGGCGGTGTGAGATAACATCTTTGCAAAGGCCAGCTGGACTTTCTCTATTTTGAAGAAGCCTCCCAAGAATACAATGTTCCTTGATAATCCTGCAGAATCATAACTTCGGGGTTTATTTTTTTGTTTATTTCCTAAGTTCATTTCTGACCTTTGTTCATTACCTTTCTACCAGTCCATAAATGGCAGACTTCGGATGTTGCTAAGAACAACACAGTGAAGTGCTTGGATCGGTACTACATCCTAGGCAGTGTGTCAAGTGACTCCCAGCTGGGAAAAGAGAGCTCCGGACTCTCACAAAGGCAGCAGATGGAAAATGCCATAGGCGCCAAGGAAAGTTGGTGGAGGGGATGGATTCTGTACTGGACTTAAAGGAATACATGGGAACCGAATGTGAAGATGGGCAGAGGAAGCAGCATAAAGTTGGTGATGGCTCAAGAAGCACTGTACACAGGGCATGAAGAATGCCCACACGTAGCTCAAGAATAGTGTCTATCTAGTAGACATGGTGACAAATGAAACCACGAGCCACATGCCCAGTGTCATTCTTGGCACTGACGTATGACGCGTGGCGTAGAGCAGCTAGGAGGAGCTTCCTTCTCCGTCAGTTACCTCTTTAGAAAGAAGTTTAAGAGGGTTGGGCTCCAGGTGACCTCTTGGGGAGGACCCCAATTTTATTCTTAACAGCACTGCCATATAGAGTTGGGCATTGCCCAATGACCATTTCACATAGAGTACAGACTACTTCAGCTTTTCCAGAAGGTATGTAGTCAAAAGACATTGATTTTGTGGAGAACAAGCTGCGGGCCTAGCGAGTTAGAACTTCAGTCAATCCCGGTCAGACTCAGAGGACTCAAGGTCACACACAGAACCACAGGCCAATTGCTCATTTATCTGCCCATTTTCTCACTGGTCCAATATTTGCTGAGTGCCTGCTGTAGGCTAGACATTCAAGAACCCAACCATTCTGGCTCTGGCATTTTAATAGTTACATGTCTTTTATGCACCTCTAGCCACACAGTCCCTACCAAACATTCTTTGCATAATTTAGATAAATAGTCCTTCTTAGAAACACATAGTATGATCTTTCTTCATCATTCATTAAACAACAAAACTATGGGATAAGTGCCACCTTGCTAGATCCTATTATAAGCATCGAGAGCACAGTAGTGAGCTATGACCCAACCCTTGTCTTCATGGACCCCACATTCCTGCAGAGCAAGAGAGTCGGACATTTGATGGAGGAAGGTCATTGGCTAATAAAGGCACTGTCCTGGCCCATTTTATTGGTTAGAGGTTGGTGGGAGGAGTAAACAGAACAGAACGCTGGGAGGAAGAGGAAGTGAGCTCAGAGACTCCACAGCTCTCTCGGGAGCAGATGCCTCAGAGAGAGACGCCATGCCCCAGCTCCCAGGCAGACGCACACTATGAAGCTCCGACCCAGGATGGACATAGGCTAGAATCTTCCCGGTAAGACCGGTTCTCACAGATTATTAGAGATGGGTTGATCGGGATGTGAGAATTAGCCTGTAAGTGCTAGAGCTAAAGGGCCAAGCAGTGCTTAAAAGAATACAGTGTCTGTGTAATTATTTTGGGGCATAAGCTAGCCGAGCAGGCCGCCGGGGTGCTGGGAACGCAGCCCCGCCATCGCCCTTATTACTTCAGACATTGACCAAAATGACAAAAAAAAAAAATCATATGAATGTTCGGAGGGAATGAGAGCAATGGAGAAAAACAGAACATAGAAGGGAGATGGGGGATTCTAGGTGTGGGTGCTGGGCATTGCAATAAAGTGGGGAGGGTAAGCCTAGCATAAAGGGGACAGTTGAACAATAGTTTGTAGGAGGCACAAAAGTGAGCAAAGGAGCCAAGTCTAGTAACAGAGAGGGCCACACATAGGGAAAACTCTGTGGAAAAGGCCAGAGGGGAGGACTTGCCTGGTGTGTTTAAGAAACATCAAGAAGGCTTTGTGACTGGCTGCAGCCTGAGTGAGTAAGTAGAGGGGAGTTCCAGGCACACTGGAGGTCTAGAACACGACTCTAAATGAGGTAGGAACCATAGGGACAGAAGACTGAGGTAGGAGAAAAAAGACCATTTCCTTTTGATCATCAGAAGCACCCCCATCAGAATGAATTCTTGGCCACTGTTTTAAATATAAGAACAAAATCTGAATTAAGTTGTAAGAAAACCATATTGGCTGCTTTGATAAACTCTAGCACTTAGAAGGGAATGGTGGCAGTAGGCAGAATGATAAGAGGAGATCTTTAAAAGAGGTGATAGGAGTTGAACCAGAAAGACCTAACACTTGAACATAGCAGCTGACAATTTCTGCTACTGGCAATACCATTTTTTTTCCTGCTAAATTGTCACACAGAGAGGAAATTAACAATGACTTATGTTCTTACATTTTCCTGATGATCGTTATAGGGTTTTGTTCTTAAGGAACCTGAAAGATGTTCATATATGATGTGTGTGAGTGTGTGCTGTATTCTAAAAAAAAATGACTCAATTGAGGTATAATTTACATGCTGTAGAATTTTCTCATTTATAATGCACAGACCAATGGGTTTTAGTAAATTCATGTCCATCCAGCTATGGCTACAGTCCAGTTTAGAACACTTGTATAATGTCCACAGAAAACTCTCAGAGATGGGCATGTAACTGGGAATTATGACTATCCTAGTAGGTAGAAAGAAATAGCTCATTACCTGGATAACTAGCTTTTTTCTTTATTCTTATTCTTTGATATTTCCTACAATGAAATATGGTCAGACCCCGCTGGTTTTCCATACTAGTTCCCTCTGTATCCCCCAACATATGCCCCTCCCAACTTCATACCTTCTATTTTGTTTTGTTTTGTTTCTGATAACCCATTAAGTCCAGTTAGTACTGCCCCATGCGCATGGATACGGGACCATTCCCTGGAACACAGGAAATCTACCAGTGGCTATCCCCTCAAAGAAGAGCTATTCTCTCCCTTCTCCAGCAGCTATGAACTGCCAGTAGCTCCACACTAAAGACTGGGGCCCAGAGATCACCTGCCCTATCTGTACCAGAATTTTGGCTCGTTCGATTTGTGCAGGTAATCACAGCTGCTGGGAGTTCATAGTGCACTGGCCTCATAGTGTTCAGAGGACAGCATCTTACAGCAATCCTCCCCATCCTCCAACCCTGTTATTTTCTCTGCCTCCTTGCCCCTATTTTTCTGTTTCCTGAACTATGCTTGGTGGTGAGGATATTCAGTTTAGTTTAATCTCCTATTTACAGTACTTTGACCAATTAGGAGTCTCTGTATTGACAGCTGCCCAATGCAAAAAGAGGCCTCTCTGGTCAAGGTTGAGAGACCAGGACTGTGGGTACATAAAAATTGTGACTAGCATTGTTCTAATGACCAACTAATTGTTTTGAACACCTTTTCATGTGATTATTCAGAGAGAGAGAGACAGAGACAGAGATGGAGAGACAGAGACAGAGAGACAGAGATTGATCCATGCCCATTGAAATATTTTTGCCCATTTTGAAATGTTTTATCTTACCATTGAATTTTAGAATGGTTTCTTTTTTAAAACAAATTCTGATAGCCACAAGACATTCTTCTTCTTAGTTTTCTTCTAGGTCTTTCCTAGGTTAACCCCTTAGATGTAAGTCTCTGATCCATTTTGAGTTCACTTCCAGTATACTTGTGTGGTGTGTTACATAAGGTCACAGATAAATGGCCAACTATTTAGAAAGGTCAGAAGGATTCATCTGGAAGGGATTCAGGTAGCATTGCTAGATTCCCGATGGACAGAGTGATGATTTAACTGTAACTGGTTTGTATTGTATTTTTTCAGATGTATTTCCCTTTGTGCTGGAACAATTCATTGAAAAGATTGTTATTTCTTCACTGCATTATCTTGACAGCTTTGTCAAAAAGAACTCTGAGAATTTAGTTCTTGACTTTTCGTTTAAGCTTCATTGTTCTCTATTGGTTTCTTGGAAATCTGTAAATATTGTAAATCTGTAAAAACTGGAAGTCTGTAAATCTTTATATCTTCAGAAGACAATTTTATCATTTTATTTACATTACAAAAGTTTCAAGTATCTTTTCCTGGTCTGGTTGTACTTACTGTGCTCATAAGTACAATTCTGGGTAATGTGGCCAAAGCAAGCTTCTTTATCTTATTTCTGCCTTTAAGGGAAAGTCTTTATTCTCTTGCTATGTGATATGACTATATTGTTAGCCACAGATTATTTTCATAGAGAACTTTTTATCAGGTTGAATATGGTTTCTTTAGTTCCTTATTTATATAGTGTTCTTAGTCATGTACATGTATTTTACTCAAAATGAGAATATCACAGGATTCCACAAAGAGTGTATTACTCTTAAACACTATATATGGCCTATAGTATGTATGTATATACATATATGCATGCAATAACAATTAATGAAAAAGGAGGTCGTAATTGGAAGGACAGTGGGGAAGAGTGCATGTAAGGCTTTGGAGGGAGGACGTAGAAGGGAGAAATGTTGTGGTGAAGTTATAAGCAAGGGAGAGAGAGAGAGAGAGAGAGAGAGAGAGAGAGAGAGAGAGAGAGAGAACATATGTGAATAATAGGTGTGGCTATATCTCTTCTTGTCCAGGTATCTTAGATTAAAAGCAACAGTGGAGAACAAAGTGCTCTAAACGTTGACTTTAGGAGAAAAAACAATCAGAAAATAACTCATATGAATCTTAGACCCAGAAGAACATAACAATTCCAAAGAGAACAAAAGTCAAAGAAGACAAATGCCATTTACAGTAGGGGCAGAGAATTGTAAGTGCATAGCTGCCAGAGTGGACTTTATCCTGTAGTAGTTGTCTCTAACAAGACTGGAGATGTCTGAAAAAGAGTAAATTAGCTTCATTGATAAACTTCCAGCGATTTGGAAAGGATGATTTGTCTGTCAGGGACTCAAATTGTTGGGGATTTACTAAATTGCCCAAGGGTAGACTGATGACTTGGCTGTAGTTAGTGTGCACTCTAGTTGATATTTATTCTCTGATTATGACAATGGCTAGTCATAGCAGAAGGAAATTTGGGATGTGTTAGTCTTTACTAGGTTCCTCATAGGAAAATCCCGAGGACTGGAAAGTTTAAATGAGCCGATGACTCCTCACCGCCCTGGAGGCTGGAGTCTAAAATGAAGGTGTTGGAAGGTTTCCTTTAGTTCGAAGCCTCTTTCGTCATCCTGATGAAGGCAGTTTCTTTCTGTGTCCCCATGTCATCTTTTTTCCTGTGTACCCATCTGAGAGTCCCTGTGTGCGTGGCTTTCCTCTTTTAAAATGGATTTTGGACCTTTTAATGTCTGTTCTGGGTGTGTAACCCACAATCCAAGCTGAGAGCTCACAGAAACCCGCTGCTTGTGATGTGAGAACAAGTCCATTACTCCCTCCTGTACAGACAGAAATATACTCAAAGCGTGGGGCGTGCTGGGGGATTAGGCTACACTAGCTGCAGAGAAAAGGCTTTTGGGGGCTAAATGGGAAGTTTCTTAGGTTGTACATTAATTCCTCAATGGAAATGTGAAAACTGTCACTTTTCTATTGTACAGCAGAACTAGGAGACTTTCATGAAGAAACAGTTAGGAAGCATCTGGTACAAACCCAGTATTTCCCAAGCCAAGACTGTTTAGAGAGCAAGATCATGCACTTTCACCAACAGCACGTGTAAGTACGTCCCCTGGCCCCTGCTTTCCCAGTGGAGGACACTAAAGCTAGGACCGACTCTTGAGAGCAAACTTTACATCTGAGAAGCTTCAGTCCCAAGAACACGCTCAGTCTGTGTACATCTCTCGGAGAAAAGGTTGAGGGGCGGGGTGAGTTTTGCTGCATTTGTTGGGCTCACGAATCCCTTCCCATTGCAGGGGCCGGAGCCCAGCTGAATCAGACATTCTGCTACTGGACATAGCTAGGAAATTGGATATGTATGGCATCAGACCTCAGCCTGCCAGCGACGGCGAAGGGATGCAGATCCACCTGGCTGTTACTCACATGGGAGTACTGGTGTTACGGGTACTAACTCTTCCCTTGAGTGCCCTTCAGTGTGCTGGCTTCAACTTGAATATCTGTTCCCCAGAGGGTCATAGGGCTTTGTCATACCACCAACTACAAGGGAAGTAGAGCTAATAAAATGGTGTGCAAAAGCCCTCTCCCCAAAATGTGCTTTGCCCCTGTGTGTGGTCAGTAATGTACTGTCTGGGCTTTGAGACCATCACACTTTAGATTAGGCCAGCATGGTGAAGTGAGAAAAATCAAGAGGTTCTTAGGGAATCTTTGACTTTAGTACGTGCCAGATGGTTAAGATCCACCCTGAGTGGTCCAAACTGTGATGCGTCCTTTCTTAGAACTCTTTGCATTGGGCATAACCGGTGTCAGCTGGTAGGGAATTAATGTTGAATACCACCGGCAACTGCTGCTGTTTACCACACCATTGTTTCCCTGGGATTTGGGATTTCAAGTTAGAAGTCAACTTGAAGGGCCATTGTCTTCTACCATCACGCCGCCCTGTCCCCAAGCCCTCAACTCCGCTAAACAATTTTGGTTTTTCTGCTCTGCTTAAAACCAAAATTCCTTAGAGGAGCTAGAAATGAACTGCTGTCAGAATGTCCCAGAGATTGGGCTATCAGCACTGGTAAGAAGTCGGACGATGCAGAAGGCATTTGGGGCAAGGGAGAATGAAGAGGTCACAGATGGTACAGATATAGACAGAAGTTTGAAGTAACAAGCAGTGGGAGAGATGGTTGTATATTGAACAACAAAACCCAGCCCACATTTAATGATGTGGCTAGCGAGGAACTGCTGAAGATTTATTAGTTAAATGAGGCAGCAGGATAATCAGGCTTTTTCTTTTAGCACTTGTTGTATGCAAACAGGGAGGGGTGAGATCACAGAGGGCATTATATCAATCCATTCTGCTGTGGTCTTGTTCCCTACCTGCAATGTTTAAGTTCCACAGGCTCTTATTCATGAACAGTACTTTCCATCATACTTTTACTGTGGCACAACCCAACTCATGCAGATATGTTCTGAAACTGGCTATGTGTTTCTTTATAGGGAAATACAAAGATTAATACTTTCAACTGGGCTAAGATTCGCAAGCTGAGTTTTAAGAGAAAACATTTTCTCATCAAACTTCATGCTAATATTTTGGTGAGTAGGTTTCTAATACATTCTATTTCTGTTCACTTGGAGTTTTGCTGTTGCTCTAGAAATGATTTGAATATAAATGGTGAAAGGTGTCTGGCCCTGAGGGGTGATGGATCCCTCTTTGTCCTCTATATAAACTGAACAGAGATTTAATGATGCTTCAACTAAAGGCAAAACACTATGACATCTGATTTGCACTTCAGAACAAATGATGCAAAAGGAAAATGAGGCAGCTGGACTGAAAGGCAAGTCTCTGTGGATAGCATCTTTGAGGGATCTGATGAGTTAAATGGGGGCCACCAGATCTAGGACAACAGAAGTAATTGTTTGACCTTCTCTTTTATATTTTATAAAGTATCTTCACACACTTCCCTTAAGAGAAAAATATCAAACATCAACTACATGGTTAGTCTGAGAAGGTGTTAGGAAAGATGTTTTAATGACTGACCATGAAGGGGTAAAAAGCCTATATGTGTATCAAGTAATTTGAACCTATAAAAGATCAAGTTTGAATTACATTGCCTAGATCTTGGTGTTATGTAAAGGCGTTCATTTGAATAGTTCATGGGACCAGACCTAGTGTGAACTTCATGGGGAGCCTCAGGGGCTATACGCAGGAACCTGGAAGGAAATGAGAGGAGGGGCAAGTCAGTTCTGACTGCTGGTGGGGCTGTTGAAAAGACATCTGGGAACCTCCATAGAGCCTTGGGCCAACGAGTGTACACGGTGACTCAAGATGGGAAAAGCTTGTACTTTAGAACTGTAAATCGAAGTTCCCTTAGGACACATTAAAATACAGACTATGCCAAGAAAGAAATACAAAGCACTGCGGTATGAGAAAGTACATAGAGGCAGGTGTATTTCTTGCTGGGTCATTGAAAACACTCCTACACATTTAATCATCCTCACAGCAAGAATGAAATCTCCCCTTTCCCCTTGCCTCTTGGTCATTTACACCTTCTTGCCACTTTGAAAAAGAAGCCCTTTGATATTCATTTTAACCTAATTTACAGCTTCCTAAAATGTTTCTGGCAGCAAAGAGGCAAGGCAGAACGGCATTTAAAGGGAGGGGATTGTGCGAAGCAAGCCTGGCTTCTGAGACAAGGCTTGGCGCATGAGTGGATGCAGTGTCTGATCTTTGGAAGGTTGCGATTCATTTGGTTCCAGCGCTGTGGAGACTACGGGGAGCCAAACAGAAAAGCAGACACTTCATGGGCTACCAGACTGTTAGTTTCGAAGGTTGGAAGGTCTTTGGTATTCTCGCAGGATGTTTTGCTTGATAGAAAATGGTTTATATAGGTGTTGTACAAAGACACTTTGGAGTTTACCATGGCTAACCGAGATGCGTGCAAGGCTTTCTGGAAGACTTGTGTGGAGTACCATGCTTTCTTCAGGCTTTCCGAAGAGCCCAAGTCAAAGCCCAAGACCCTTCTCTGCAGCAAGGGCTCCAGTTTCCGCTACAGGTAATTACACTCCGTGCATGGGAAGACCATGCACACTGTTTCTTTTCAGTCCATGGGAAACAGTGGGAGGAGTTGGAATTCCAGAAGTAATAAAGAATCTATTTAAGTCACTTGAAAGATTATAAATATTCCTTACTGTTCATTCTTGCTGCATTGCATTAGGTCAGTATTTACTAACCAAAGGGGTTGGGTCAGAATTACAGTGAGGATGTAGGGTAGCAGAGGGTACTTGAAAAATTGTATTCAATGAACTTACTGTCTCCCTGAAAGGCAGCTTCTATGCAGGATGTGGAAGGAACGATCAATCATATCTATTAATGGCATTTAGGGAAAAGATAGAGTGAGTAAACACTGGATGCGGGTCAAGAGATTTGAAAGATGGAACAATCCTGTATTGAGAAGTTTCCACCTTAGGGGAATTGAAGAGAGGTAGACTTGAGATACTGTTTCTATTTGAACACACTAGCCTTGAAATCCACGGGGAGAAGCTTACAAAACTCTAGTGATTGCAAAAATAATTCTAATCACATAAGGAATTTTTCAGACCCTGGAAACCTGCCCTTGGAAGAATAGAGATATTTAAAACACATATTTTTGATGGAATGTTTCCAAAGTGTACTCTACAAATCCCTATGTTCTTAAACAGATGATATTGAGCATATTTTGCTCTGTCTTAATGACCCGACTTATAAAACTCCCTTCTTAGCCTTTGCAGGCCGTTGTGCAGTGATAGCCTTAGGTAGGGGTGGCATATAAGGTCTGGCCCTTTGCTAAATGGCCCCGAAATTTTGGATTTTCTTATTATTGTGACTTTTTCCTGCCTCTTGTGTTTCTCCCAGCACTCAACCAGACATCTTTACCCGTATGAGCCTACCTGATGCATTTTTTTCACTGTTTTGTTAGCTGCTTTGCATCCACCTTGGGTTGGAAATCTAAATAGCCTCCTTAGAATGAATATGTAGAGTAAGAGTCAGTTGGGATTTGTATTTTACAGGTTTTTTAAAGCCTATTTTTTGGGTAGATGAATTTGCTCTATTCTTGGTGTCCAGAGAAGTAGGTATAGCATCAGTATGACAGAGAGTCACAATGCATGCCACTCATCCAGACAGTTTAAGGTTCAAAGATGAGGGTGTCGGGTTTTAGTGGCATATAGTCTTAGGATGGAATTAATGATTTTTGTCTTTTCTTTACAATAGTGGAAGAACTCAAAGGCAACTTTTGGAGTATGGGAAAAAAGGGAGGTTAAAGAGCCTGCCGTTTGAAAGGTGCACCCTTTTCCTTCTTGCTTCTCATGCTGATTGGAAGTTGACTTTAGCGATGTCTATGCAGCCTATAATTTACATAGTGGGCATTTCAATGACTTCTCTGTTTGGTGGCTTACAGGAAACAGTACCCATCTCAGTATCACGAGCGACAGTGCAGGTCATCACCAGACATTCTCTCCGACGTGTCCAAACAAGTAAGGTTTCAGAAAAGCCCTACTTCTTTAGGTATAAGTCATCCAGTCTTCCAATGCTTCCAAGAGTTGATTTTGCCAGATCTACCTACTGTGTACCAAGGTCACTCCATACGGGGTTAGTCGCTTGGGGAGGTCTTGGCACAGTCAGTGCCGTTTTGTAAACTACAACTGTGTACTGTGTACAAGTGAAATCCCTGGTGTACCTTCAAATTGCAATCTGTCCTATCAACATCTTGAAAAATTCAGATGATAATAATACATTTGTATGGCTTCGTAATTTTAAATTTAAAAGCTCTTTTTTTTTAAATCAAGTAGAAACAATAAGGCTTCAAGAAAGACATACGGTGTTGTTTCTTACTTGGGTAACATGATTTCTAGATACATTTACAACCTTGGAACTGTAAAATTATTGCCTCATTTGAGACTTAGATCAGGAAGATTGTTCATCATTTTTCTTTGGTACTGTCTACAAAAGTTAATTGTAGGCGCCATAAATTCCCATGCCTTCACTCAAGTCACAGATGGCCTTTATCCAAAAGGCATCAGATGTAACTGCTGAAAGGGATCATGGAGATTATGAATCTCTCAGGCCACGCACAGCTCTCCTTTCTAACTTTTATTTACAGAAAATATAGAGGAGGCTGGGGTAGGAATGTAAGACCGTGGTGTCTAAGGTGCACATAGCTAGACAAAGGCAGACAGGCGTGGGATTGCTACTTCTTTGACATAGCTACCAAAATGAACTGCTTGAAATAGAATGGTACCTGAAGGACCCGTGAAATGTGGAGTCTAGAAATGAGATGTCACTGAGAATGAAGAGTGCCACATGTATTTTCTAACCTATAACTTGGTTCATGGTGGAAGGCATTACCCTTTCTTTACATATCTAACCTAACCCATCTGACATCAACATATCTGGGTTTTCAAGGTGGAAGACCTGAGACTTCCCTATGGCAGCGGCTACTACCGAAACGCGGATGGAACACACACATCTGAGCCTATGCTAGACAAGAGGAGGAGGAACTCGGCGGTAGAGGTGACATTTGCAGCCGAGCTGGAGAGATCCAAACCAGAGGCAGATCCCACACCGCTCCATCCATCCCAAAGCAGTTCCTCTTTCACCTTTGTTTATGCAGATCCTGTCTTCAACACTGACCCGGATCCCATAGACTTTTTTGAGGAACGGAGCCCTCTAAGCTCCTTCCAGACAGGCTCGAAGTGTGTGGACAATCACATAAGCACATCTCCTGCTTTCCCCAGCAAAGTGAGTCCAGCAAGGCAGCTCACATACACCGATGTGCCCTATATTCCTTGTACTAGCCAGCAGGTTGATATCATGCCTCCTCAAGTCTTTTTTTACGTGGACAAGCCACCCCAGGTACCCAGGCGGTCTCCAATCATGGCAGAAGAAAATGTCAGATCAGACAGCTATCTAGATCCCAGTGCAGTAAAACCAGTCAAGAGGAGCCCCAGGAATAGCAGGATAAAAAGTTTACAGCAAGACCTTCAAGAAGCTATGGCTAGAACTTGTGGGAGGAGCAATATCAGTGTAGACCTAGGGGAGGAAGATTCACATTTGGATGATGCTTTTCCATATAACCTTAAAGAGCAAACTCCTAAACGATCTCAGAGCCATTCAGACATGAAAACTATCCGTTTTCCTTTTGGGTCAGAATTTAGACCTTTAGGGCCTTGTCCTGCTTTGACTCGTAAAACAGAACCCTTTACCTGTACATTTGCAGAGCAGGAGTTCCCCACGGTTGTAATGGATCAGAGCTCGGCAGAAAGATACGTAGTTAGTGAGTCCAGTGATTCAGAATCGGAGATTCTGAAACCAGACTACTACTCTTTGTATGGCAAAGGCACAAAGTCACCTAGGGCCCGAATCCGCTTGTCGTCTGGTAGTCTACAGCTAGATGAAGAAGAAGAAGATATTTCTTTCACCATGCCAGATGCTGAAGATAGGACTTTGCTGAAGCCATGCAACTATTTCTTAGCTTAAAAGAGTGAACTCTGTGAATGTTCCTGGCCTGTTCCCTGTTACCGCTTTAGGTAAGACCTAAGTGCCTTTCAATATACCTTCTCCTTAGTCATCTTAATTGATGCTAATGGAGTCTGCTCACTGCTGGCACTCAGTTTATGAAAGATTAAGTTGCTGTCTCCTTCTAGGAACTTCGTTCTTTTATTTCCTCCGAGCAGACTCTGGAACATGCCTTCTCCTATGGCAGTGTGAGGGAGGTGTACGCCATCACCATTCAACATTTCTTTGAGCAGATATTATAAATGAAGACCATCTTCAAAGCTGAAGAACAATGGCATGGGTTGGTGTATGGGACTGGCTTCTAATGCCACTTTGTGATTCAGTAGTCCATGATTATGTTGGGTTTGTGTTTGTGCTTATGTAACACTAAACTATGGTTTCTCTCCTGATGACCTGTTTGGGACCCAGTGATCAGTTTTGTTATATACTAAGAATGTCAATATACGTAAGTGAGTGGCATAGTTCCTCTCAGCAGAACATGTTTAGAATTAATAGAGGATTTAACAGAATTCTCAATCATGGAGGTTCTTAGTTTAGGCCCATTTCTCATGTCAGATGTGTGCCTGATGAAGATATTATGATGCTGACTTCTAATTTCTCTCTTCTTAACTACTTATGATATATGGTGGAAATCAATGTTAACAAGCAAGTTTGTTTATTAATTTGCCATACCTTGGTTGCATGCATGTAGGCAAGGATCTGAGGTATAATTTTAATAAAGAACAATGGAAGATCCACTCAAACAGAAGTTATACGTATGACTTTCTTTTTGTTTTAATAAGAATTCCGAAGTAGATGGTTGTGGCCTATATCTATAGAAGAAGATAGTTAGAAGATGGAAAAAGAATAGAGATAGGAGAAAATGAATGGCTGGGATTACGTGGAAACAAGGGCTGAGTGAGACAAAAAGAGAGAGCACCACCACCAGGATCTGGAAGGAACCAAAAATTCTATTGTGTGGTTGTTTTTTAATTTTCTCAAGAAGCTGAGGGTGGTCTCCAACTCCTGATCCTCTTGCCCCAGCCTGCCATGTGCTAGTGGTTACAGTGATGTAACATGGTGCTAAGCTCAGTTTGACTGCTTTTTAAAAAACGTTATGTGCATGAGTAAGCATACCATGTGTGTGCCTGCCTCCTGTAGAGGCCAGAAGATGGGGTGGGATCCCTTGGAATGGGAGTTACAGACAGTTGCGAACCACCATGTTGGTGCTAGGAAACTCAGCCTAGGTTCTTTGCTGAAGCGGCCAGTGTTCTTCAGCACTGAGCAATTTCTCCAACCCTCAAAATTCTGTTCTTGATCCATTCAATATTTGTCTACCAATCCTCAAGGAAGACTATTCAAGAACTTCGTTGATAATCTTAAGTACAATGTATTTTCAAGCCAGTGTTAAATATAAATGTCAAAGAAGTGAAGTGATAGAATAAACAATTTTCTATGTGATTTAATAAGTGAAAAGGTAGACAACAGATTTCTTTATTCTCCACCTTAGCAAAAACAGCTTTTCTGTGCTTCAACCCACTCCTTTTCTTCTATTCCTGGACACAAATCCACTAAGTCACAAGTGTAGAGTAGTTATTGAAAACTATGCATATACTGAAGCTTGACCACCTAGGTGTAATTTATAGAGATCTTTATCATTTTTTAAAAATTACCTGTAATCTTTTCCCCACAAGAAATTCAAAATCTTATATTTTATATGGTTTTTCCTTATCTCATTTTCATTTCTAAACACTTTGGCTAAATGTTCACTTTCCTTCAGAATGATAAATTTCAAATCTGTATGTGATTTGTATTTAAAATAGTAATTACGGAGAGCAGTGAGTTGGTTGTCTGAAGACATTTTTGAAAGGACTTAATAATTTTGTTAAGGGAGGAGGCAGGATATATGTGTTCACCTGTGAGTAGAATCAATTCTTAGTAAACCTTGGTTATGTTCCAATAATAGAAGGAAAAGGAGAAGTATTTTAAAACAATTAGAATAACATATCAGACCTACCCTCAAGAAAACAAGCATCAAGGATCATAAAGTTTAAATATTTATTTTTAAAATCCCCCAAACACTGAAGTATGCTTTTCCTAGAAACAGTCTACGGGACAAAAGCTCCAATGAACAAGCAATACAAGCTGTATTTGGGATGCAGTTATGTGGTAAGGTTTTACATAATCAATTTATGAACTGGTGGATTTTATTTTTACAAAAATACGAATGTAATCCATGATTCAAGTCACACAATTATTTGTAGAACACTATGGAGAACAAAGTGTAATTGAATTTCAGTTACAGAACTGATGAAAACTCTAACCGAATCATGACTTCAAAATACAATCAAGTAAAAGCAACTGTTAGCGTACAGGCACCAACAAAAAGAATTTTCATGACATACAACACTATACCTTCACAAGTGTTTGAATTTCTTTTTTAAAAAAAGGCATGTAATGGCCACATCAACTAAAAACTCTATTGTTTACTTACACAACACCTTTCTTTTAATATTTGGCAGTTGTCCAGACATTTTAAAGATCATTTGTGCAAAAATCAAATGTGCAGATACAAACACGAAAATCGTAACTGTCAAAATTAATCAGTGCCAACAAGCCTACAGCTATGAAACTATAGCCCCAGTTCAGCACTTAGGCAAACATAGTATATATATATATATATATATATATATATATATATATGGCTAAAAGAGGGTATCACTCACTTAACAGTACCATAAATAGAACTGAAAATTAACTGTACAGTCTATCTTACTTTGTATGAAGAGAAATGTTCGTGCCCTATGGTATTTTCACATGAGCTAGACAATGTTCACTTAAATACCTTTTCAAAACTGAACACACAATGCTTATGTGTGTATAATTATCAAGAAAAAAAATATATAAATAGTTTCTACGAAAATTGAGTTACCATGACAAAAGATGCTGGTGTCCTTATGTTCATAACTGTGGATCAGGTATTTACTCACAAGACAACAAGGTTTCTAAAACTTTTCTAAATCCAAGCATATACAATATTATTTGAGCTGAAGATTTGAAGGTTGAAGCCAGACTAATTCCTCCAGTTTAACCAAACCCTCATCCTTGGCTAAATAAGATTACTTTAAAAGTCTAATCATGTTAAATAAGGGTTAACCGCTTCTTCCATCTTAAAGAGAAGATAAAAATACCAAGAGGTACTTCTGCTACATGTTGCCTGGAAATGGTTCTTCAAACACAAGGTTCTCAAGTATGATAATCATGAAGCTGTCTGGAATCCAGAACACCTTGCTAGAAAAATCAATACTTTTCTAGGCGCTTTTTCCAAGAGCTTATTAAAAATATGATGTTAAGAAGGTATGACTTATTTCTATCTCCCTACACATAGTCAATTTTAGAGTGTTTGTGTAAAAAAAAAAGAATGCTTTTTGAAGCTTGATGATTTACAGACATTCAATATTTAGGATGACTTTGAAAGACCTGTATGTTTCATGAGTGTACAGTTAACTAAAGATTGAAAACCAAACAGTATTCATTCTAGTAACATAAAAAATAATGGTACTTAAAGTTAAAAAAAAATCAACCATATCTCAACATTTACTACAATACAGGTGAAACTATAGTATTAAAATTATTCCTTACAAAATAATCTCTTTAAAATACAAAATGATAGCCACCATCACAAAATACTTGAAAGCTTCTCCTAAATCTTCAATGTCGCAAAGATCCAAAGGCACCGGGAGCTCATGGGCCAAACATAATTAAGGTTGACATAGCTTTGGTGGGTTTCTCTAGCTCCATATGAAACCGAAGCCAGCAATAGCAACAACACATTTTTAAGAGGACTCATCGGCAGAACATCTGTAAAATTAAGAACAGTATAAATCAATGTATAATTTTAGACAAGTCATCCATATTTCTCACTCATGAACTCTACAACAAATGGAGACAAATTCTTTTCTTTGATTATTATGTAGATGGATATTAAAAGATGCAAAGATGGTCCACAATTCCTCTGCATCTCCTCTCCTAACTTGCAATGGATCTGGTTGTAAACAGCAAAAGAGATGGGAGGTGGTTTTTTTTAAGACTACTTTAGCTCCTTAGTCCTCAGTAGTAAACTTTATTGGGTGGAAAGATAAATATTTAGTTTCACCTTGAGCTCAGTTGAGCAGGGAATTCTAAAGATGGAACCAGAAGAGATATGATGGGTTTAAAGTTATGATCTGTACAATCATGTTTGAACTCACGAAAGCTAATGAATATGTATGTATATATACAAAAGTCTTGTTTAAGAAAAGAAATTTCACATTAACTGTAAGAACTTTTTTGAACAAAATCAAGCTAATAGGCAACAAGGCAGAAACTGAACACAAACAAAGCCTCTATTACTGTCTATGGCAGTAGTTCTCAACCTGTGGGTCATGACCCCTTCCATAGGTATCACCAAAGACCATTAGAAAACACAGGTATGCTGGATGGAGGTGGTGCACGCCTTTAATCCCAGCACTCAGGAGGCAGAGGCAGGCGGATCTCTGTGAGTTCGAGGCCAGCCTGGTCTACAAGAGCTAGTTCCAGGACAGGAACCAAAAAGCTATGGAGAAACCCTGTCTCGAAAAAAATAAAAAAAATACAGGTATTTGCATTACTATTCATAACAGAAGCAAAATTACAATTATGAATTAGCAATGAAAGAAATTTTATGGTTATAGGTCAGCACAATGTGAAAAACTTTATTAAAGGGTCATACATTAAGAAAGTCGAGAACCACTGGTCTGGCTGTCTTTTCTAAGTCTGTTAATCAACATCACATAAGGGCTCAAATGGAATAACTTTGTTAGTGGAAATAATCAGGTTAGTGGTGTTTCTGCAAATACTAAGAGTACTGCCAAGAATGGAAACATGTGTGATGTTACATGTGCCCAAATTTCAATGCTGACGGAGGAAGAGAGGGCAAAAATCTAGGCTGTTTGGTTCAGTAGAAAACTGCCTTTCCATATCTAAACATAATAGTTCAGGGGCTAATACTGGACTGGCTCAGTAGGTAAAGTGCTTGAGGTCCAAGACCAAGGACCTGAATTCAGATCCTTAGTGCCCATGTTGTTGTCAGGTGTGACTAAGGCTCATGACTTCAGCATTGGAGGACAGAGAGGAGTATTTCAGGGCATCACTGGATAGATCGTCTTCCTAAAAGGGCAAGGTCCATGTTCAGTGAGAGACCCTGCCTCGAAAAGTAAGGTGGAAATTGATAGTGTTACAAATCTGATATTGACCTGTTTCCAACACAGGCCCGTGTGCAAGACAGTTCCCGTGTGCAAGACAGTTCGCCCACATACCCATGTGGATAAGCATATGCAGCAATCTCCCTCCATTCTCTCTGTCTCTGTCTCTCTCTCTCTTTCACACACACACACACACACACACACACACACACACGGCAATGTTTAAGATGGGCAAGAAACAAGAAACAAAACTGTTTTCAAGTACACAACTATTAGGAAGCGATTCTGTAGGGGGGGACATAAATGATTGCACCAAGGCACCCGTATTCCACCATAAATTAACATCTGAAATGTTAACATAATTTTGAAAACGATACTTAAAACTTACTTTTGAAATTTTTCAATTAATTTCTTCACCATTTTATCTGTGATGCCAGGACAGGCAGCTTCAGCCACAGCGATGCTTTTCTCAAGTTCTTCAATTGCCTGGTTTCGGCTTGCATTGTTCTCATCCTGCTGTTTAAGCTGGAAAAGAATGATAGCTATAACATTTAAACTATCCTGCCACTCGAGACCGATATCGGATGCTAAATAACCCACACTTACTTCAGCAAATGCAGGTGTGATTATCATAGACAAACAGCTCAAGGTTTGCACAAGATCTTGCTCCTTTGAAGAAATGATACAGATTACACACACGGAATCAAAATAATCATTCATGGCTTTTCTTACTTATTTGATAGCAAATATGAATCAATTTGAATTCTTCCTTCAAAAGATCCAAGCTAAGGCTAGTCCCCATATTTCCTTTCTGTCACAGATTCGCACCCATCAATGGAAGCCCCTAATGTCTAGGATTCCAATAGACATCTGATTCCCTGAGTTTACATTTCTACATGGACATGAATTTTAAAAGATTTCTATGACTAAATTAGGTCACAGTTAATGATAAATGAACATTATTATGCAGATAGGGAGGCAGACAGGCATGCGGTGGTATTAAATTCTCATAGTTTTGCACATTATAATCTCATCACACTATTTTTAAAAAGCCTATAAGGAGGATATGAAGGAGGATATGATCAGCTGAGAAAAACTTACAATGATATGTATATGAAGATGATATGATACAATCTACTATGTTAAATTGTATAATTAGCTCCATATACATACCTCCCCATTCTGTAGTTTCTTTGGATCAGGCTTCTTACGCACAGTGGTGAAACTCCATTCAGGGTGAGTATTACTTTCTCTGCTGGTGGATTCCCTAAAGAAATACCAGATGTGAAGTAATTTGACATGGCAAAACACACCAAATCTGAAGAGCTTACGGTGTCAGCATTTTTACAAAGTCGCCATACAATACCGCATCTGACCTCAGTTTCAGGTGGATACTCTATTTTATTCAAGACCAGCAGCATTTCTCAGCTCCAATTGATCACCCACATCTCTATACGCTAATACTGCTATCCCCCATGCCTGAACCAGGCTCCCTAGCAGAATGCCTTGTGTTTTTAAAGTTCCATCAAGAAGTTTTCATGGGCAGTTAAGGTTAACAAGCCTTAGATTGGGTACAAACTATCCTGATATATTTTGTTCATTTCAATGTTGGGCAATTTCTCCTAAATGCAGGCACTTGAGAATCTTGTGTGAAGACACAGGGTGCTACCTTTGTAGAGGTTTACCTACCTTGGATTCTTCTACTCAAGTTAAGATGAGCACAAGTTAAGAAGCAGAACTATTAGTGCAAATACTGCCATTTTTCAAAAAGACTAACTTGTCCACAGAGTAAAAATCATACCTAAGTAACTAGGTATAGCAGCTCACAGATCAGTCTGATCAGTTTGGTTGGAGACCAGGAGGTAGGAAAGGTCATGAGAACAGGTCTCAAAAGGGTTCTGCAGGATGCCACGGCAGAACGAGAAAACATGGCTTCTTACTGCTTTTTTTGTGAACTAATAGAACACCTTTAATCAAATCCTATTCCAAAATTTTGTAATGTACTCAAGTATCCACTAGGGGTTAGACCGAGACCATTTAAAAGCAGGGCTTTTCACTTCCAAAGCATATTTCCAAATTTATTGTATCCCACAGACTGTAAAGAGGGGCTGAAGTGAGCCCTCAGAATGTGATTTTTAACTTAGTCTAAAGCAAGAAGACTAGGTCATGGCAAAAAGGCAGCGCATACAAGAACGGGTTGCCCACATAAAAACAGCAGTAATGTGTACTTACGAGTCAGAGCCATCGGAGTCGGATTCATCATCACTGTGGCCTTCTGCCTTCCATCTCTTAAATCTATCGATTAGTTCAGTCAGATATGAAGTCTTCTTGGAATTTTTCACAATGAACTTGTGTTTTAAAAGTTCTTTAGCCGTAGGGCGCTAAGGAACAGACACACACACAAAGAAAGAAGGACTCATGACTATTTTGAGGATCTTTCAGAGAGAGGTAGGTGGTAAAACATCATTTGAATTATTAAACTGAAATCTAGAAAATAATATCTACAGACACAAGGATGGTTAAAATGTAATAGGAAAGCTGACGATTCGATTATCTGAGGTGGGTCAAGGTAAGCACATTAAATTCGCTGCTTTAATGGCTTCATTTGTTAAAGAGCAGCAGTAAGCGGATACTAGGCTACCTCACCAGCATGCCAGGCAAAAAAGCCTTCTCAGAAAGAGTGGGACTTAGCAAGCATCTAAAATGTCAAAACAACACTTTAAGACACTTTATTACATTGACTGTAATTTCTAAAAAATCATCCAAATGAGCAAGATTGTTGCAATTTTGCTATCTGCACATCTTATGAATCCCTGATTTTTGTCATTATCTGCCCACATCTTAGCATATGCTTCTCTTTCAAACACTAATTCTTATTGTAGATGAATGCAAACACCAAGTGCTTGGGGAATGTGCTTGTTTCATCATTTCATTACTATTGGAATGTTTGCTGTCAACATAAACATAACTACATCTCGCTTAGAAAAGTACTCATGGCTTTCTAATCACCAGGAGTGGAAGCAGGGCTATTTTAACAACACTACAACGTATAATAAATTTAGTCAATTCCACCACTAGCAGGTACTCACGTACTTTAAGAAATAACTAATAGAAAATTAATTATTTCTCCAAACCTTGAAATAGAAAATAATTAGGTAGCTGGGTACTAAGAAGATGATGTCAGGGAGGAGAAAAAGGGACCAAGGACCTGGTTAAGAACAGAGTGGAATTAGCAGTACAAATGGATAACAGATGTTTTCGCCACACACTGTACTCTCTGCCATAGGAAACACCATCTTAGTTAGAAGTAGATGGAACAATAAGAAACCACCAGTGGTAATGACATATACTCACAAACGATGGATCCTTATTCAGGCAAGCATCAATAAACTCCTTGAAAGACTTAGTAAAGTCTCCAACAAGAGTTGGGGGGTTGTTTTTTGGAATAAGAAACAGAACTCTCATTGGATGCATGTCAGAATTCGGAGGCTCTCCCTTGGCAAGTTCAATAGCAGTAATTCCCAATGACCAAATGTCAGCCTAAAAAGGAGACAATAACAAAAACCGTTTATCACCTTGAAACTCCATTCTAGGATGCTGCCCAAAAATCCCTGCAATGACATATCAAGGAATATGGTGAATTATAATAATATAATAGTATTATATAATATATAATAATTACAACAATTTTAATGTAACTCATGAATTCAAAATTTAAATCTCATATTTTGTACGGGCACAATACTACTTGAATGCTAAATAAACCAGATGAAAGCTCTTGCCTTGAAGAGGCTTACATTCTACTAAGAGGGAGGGACAGATAAAGGAGTAACATTATGTGAGGTAGGACCAAGTTCTATGGGGAAGCAAAGAGTAGAAAAGGGAATGGTGACCGAAGTAGGGACAGGAGCTACATGTTTCTGCGGGATGGTTGGCAGAGGCATCTCTGTACAGGGGATGCTTAGAGATAGCTCATTGGGAGCAAGGCTATTCGTCAGACAAAGGGGAAAGCAAGGAAAAATCCTGAGGTCAAAATGTTCTTGCGATTGAGGAACAATGAGGCCATAATGCCTGGAGCAAAGAAAGTAGAAATGACAATGGTAGAAGATAAGGGCGGACAGACAAAAAAATGGCCAGATCTTCAATGGCCTTATGGGTGACTATAAGGACTCTAGATTTTATTCCAAGTGCGATAAAAAGCCATTGAAATAAATAGGGTTCAAATACTTCCAACACTGATGAGACTTATGATTAAGGAACACAATAGGACATAATTTCTTTTAGAAGCACTTGCGAAGGAAGGAGAAATTAAAAAGCTTATCGACAAGCCTATATCCAATGAATCCCATCTGGACAGAGAATACTTTACTTTAGAGTCATAAGCTGACTGTTGAATAACTTCAGGAGCCATCCAAAATGGAGTCCCCACAAAGGTGTTTCTTTTAATTTGTGTATCTGTCAGCTGGCCAGCAACTCCGAAGTCAGCAAGTTTAACATCGCCTTGTTCTGAAAGTAAGACATTGGCGGCTAGGGGGCAAAGAAAAACAAAATGAATATCTCCCAGCTTCTCCAAAACAAATCTGTTTTTCTCAGGTTTCTATTTGACTTTTGTATACCTTTAATGTCTGGGTGAATTTTCTTTTCAGAATGCAGATAGTCCAGACCTTTCAAAATCTCCTTGAGCATGGTGGCAATCTGGAATTCATCAAATGGCCCAGCGCGCAGCTTAAGAAGAAAACACATGTACACTCACACACTTCAAAAGTTTCGGGAGAAATTCAAAATTGGTATTTTTGACATTTTGGATCACTTAGTTATCTGAAATAGCTTATTAAACCAACATTTGAACAAATGAGGAAAAAAAAACTTTAAAGGGAGAAAAGGTAATAAAAGTCATTTCAAATGGCTGTGCAAGGCTTTAGACATTTAGATTGCAGGATGCCAATATAGCTCAGCTGGTAGAGTATGTGCCTAACATGAGCACAACCCTGAGTTAGATCTCCAGCATCCATAGACTGGGCGTGGAGGCACATGAGTTAGATCTCTGGCACTCATAGACTGGGCACAGAGGCACATGGTTGTAATTCTAGTACTTGGGAGATGGATGCAGGAGGGTCAAAAGTTGCAGTTCGTCCCTGGCTACATCCACAGCTTGAAGCTAGCCTGAGCTACAAGAGAGCCAGGGCTCCATGAGATCCTGCCTAAAAACAAGCCACCCATATACACATAAACAAATGATTTATCTTGAAAGCTCAGCTAAGCGTTACCTAGATACTAGCTCCAAATTCTTTTTTGTTGACAGTAGATTTTTATTTAAATTTCTTTTCATTTTATATACTAACCCAGTTACCCTTCCCTCCACTTCTCCTGCCTCCCTCCTCCCCGCTTCCCACATTCCCATCCACTCCTTTGGGGAGTCAATAAAGTCTTGCATAGCAAATTGAGGCAGAACTGATCCCCTCCCCCTGTATCAAGCCTGAGCAAGGTATCCTGGTTACAAATTAGAAGGGACAAAGTCGAACTTCCACTATTTGTAGATGATATGATAGTATACATAAGTGACTCCAAAAACTCCACCAGCAAACTACTGAGGGTTCTAAAATTTACATCCAAGATTTAACAAAACTGTGCAAAGGGCAATGGAACTTTTGTCACATGGGCAAAGGGGGGAATGAATCTGTTACTTAGGGAATAAAGCTCTCCAAGGGAACAATGGACTAGCAGGAAGACTAAGAAGCAGGGGTTTAGGGGCATGAAGGGAATACAGTTAGAGTATAATACATGTGTGTGCATGGCAGTGTCCTTAGGTCACACTATACCATGTACAATGACTAGATAAAGACAGAATGCACTTGCTTTTAAACAGTCACTCCATATTAACACTGAACTGGTTTTTCAATCAGACACCTGTAATCTAAATTCAGCCAGAAATATAATAACTCAACCATTCAGACTCTCATAGTAAAAAATTCAGAACATGGAGGAATAATATTTTTCAAATAAATGTAACACACTTCCCTTTCTTTCCCCATCCCTGTACCAAAGCCAGTCATTCCAACTGGAAGACAAGGAAAGCAATCATTAGGTTTCAGGAGAACTTGTAATGGAACACCCAAAAAAATCCCTTTAAAATAAATGGTCATTTTAAAATTCTGGTACCTCATAAAGCACAAACAGTATTATTCCAGGAAGGGTGGGAAGCTGGAAGCACAGGGAGGCAGAGCTCTGTTTGCTGGAAAGAGGGGGGAGGTGCCTATTCTGCCTCACTGGGAGGGATTCACAGCTCTTTGGTACCTTGTGTATTTCATCTTTCCATGAATGCCATATTTATACCGAATAAAGGGCACTTTTATGTCAAAATTTAGCAGCTTAAAATAGACCTTGTACTTTGGTTTCACCATCCGCTATTAAGAGTCGTCTTACTGTATCCCCCAGAGATGCCTGTAATTCAATAGATCCCGTTCCTAGGTAACATTATCTATTAACTTTCAAATCTATCAACTTCCACCTCAATTTCTTTTTAATTTAAAGGTTAGTGATTAACGTGATTCTAAAGGTGAAAAATGAGACATTATTTTATTGATGGCTGGCAAAGAAATTCCGTGGAACTACCAACTAACCAGAGGACATACATCATATGAGCAAAGACTAGAATTTAGTACATGATCATAAAGCATTGGTAGGGCCAGAGGCATACTCTTGGTTACTTAAGAAATTGGGCAAGGGCAGTTTCAGGGCACCCACTATCATATTGAAGGGTTTCTAAGTGTGGGATAGATAGCTCAATCCACTTCCTAATACAGAACTTTTAAAACAGGTCAGTACGAACAACAAAAAGGGTCTTGAAAGTCCATTAACATATGATGCATTTTAGGATTAGTTGAAAATTCAAAGTAAAACTTCAACTGGAAGCTGAAAGGGACGGGGAGGGACTATTTTGTGGTGGTGGCAGGAGGGGGAGGGGTGAATATGGGATGGCGGGTGTGGGTGGATTTTTCTGGACCATTACCATACCCAAAATGGCCTCAAACCTTGTAGTACACATGTTTCCTATGGTGTGCTGGCAGTTGTGAGAAAAAGAGGACAGAGCATGCGGGGAACAGAAGGAATGTGGCAAAGATGCAATATAAGAGGAAGTGATTGTTTTGCTTCTTTAAAATTTCAAATACAACGTTGGGAAATAAAATGCCAAGGTCTTGGAATGCTTAACTGAAACTTCTCTTCAATGTTCTAAGCCTCTGCTCAGGGCAACATACCTGCCTTGTATAACCTGCCTGGGTTTTGAACATAGGGATATGCAGAAGAGGGACAATTGCTCTTTAAAGACCCTGCACTTGTGGGTTTATGGGTTTTCCCTACATTCCTTTCACTTCCTGCCAGTACGTGAGGCTGCCTACCACAGTAGGCCTTCTTTTATAACTAGTACGTGGTTCCAGGCTTCTTTCTACAGTGCCCATGTTTTATCCTATTTACCCATCAGATGTCTTTGTGCAAGACAACTTAACTGTTTTAGAAAGAATCAGTAAACAATAAATTTCATAACATCGCATCTAAAATGGTCAAAGTCTGTTCAACTGCAACGAATGATTTTCTTGGAATAAGACTCTTGAGGAGTACAGTGTATAATCCTGACTATAAACTAGAATTGATAGTCTCGTGTTAGCCAGTTAGGTGGGTGCCAGTTTGAGTTGAGAAACACGCTGCTCAGAGCCATCTTGTTTCTCTTACTACTCTACAACAAATTCTTAATCAAAATCAATTGCACTCATCTGTCGATGACTATACATTGAAAAGGAGCAACAGGTTTTCTCAGTATCTTCTGGGCTGTATAATTAAACCACAGCAGTGTCAATTTTATTTTTAGCTAGAAAAGCAGAACTAGACATTTCTAACCCATTTTCCTCATTTGATTTAACATGTGAGGAAATTAAGTCACAGAGTGACTGGCATGCTCAGTAGCCATGAGCCATTTAGTAGAGCTGGGATTAGGTGACTAGACTTTTAACCAATGGAGTGCTGACATTTTAACTTATTAAGTTTATATGAATTGCCAATTGTCTTCTTATGATGAAGTGGGCGGCAAAAAGAGGTAAAGGAAATATGTTTGTTTGACTTAGACATTACATTAAACTGGACAAACTACTGGCAGCGGATACAGATTAGGGTTGCTAGCTAGGATTATGGCAGCAGCCAATGGGTACATTGCTATTAGTGACTTAGTAAGTGGTGACTCCATAAAGGGCTATCCATGTTGAAGGAATGGAGGAGGTAGACCAGAGCAACTGGGAGAGCCTGTGCTATAGAAATAAGCTCATTTCAATTCGAGAAGAGAACACAGTTTAAACTCACAGGCATAAAGATTTTTCTAAAAGAAATTGCCTCACTGGAAAAAATAGAGACATAAAGACTGAACTCGAGATAAAAGAGAAAAGTCAAGGAGGAATTAGCCATGAATTTCTAGGTGAGGCTCTCCATTGAGACTGTCATTTCTCTATTATTATTATTGATTTTTATTGATCTCTACATTTTTCTCTGCTCCCCTCCCTGCCTCTCCCCTCTCCCCTTCAACCCTCCGCCAAGGTCCCCATGCTCCCAATTTACTCAGGAGATCTTGTCTTTTTCTACTTCCCATGTAGATTGGATCTATGTAAGTCTCTCTCTCAGTGTCCTCATTGTTGTCTAAATTCTCTGGGATTGTGGTTTGTAGGCTGGCTTTCTTGGCTTAATTGCCATTTCTTTGGAATAGTTTAAGTATGGACCACCTACCCCACCAAGGAAAATCTCTCAGACACTTTCCTAGTCACCAAATTCCCAGAAATTTGTAGTCATTTGCAGTCAGGGCTAAAGCCTTTTATGTTTTATATCTAATGTGTATTAGTGTTTTGCCTACATGTATGTTTGTGTAAGGGTGTTGGATCGCATGGAACTGGGGACATTTGTGAGCTGCTGTATGGGTGCTAAGAATCAAACCTAGGTCCTCTAGAAGAGCAACCAGTGTTCCTAATCACCTAGGCATCTCTCCAGCCCCACCACTTTTGTGGCAGGCCACAAATTTAACACACAAAAATAAACATCCTTTCTATATACCAATAGCAAACATGCTGAGAGAGAAACTAGAGAAGTAATCTCATTCACAATTTTTTTCAAAGACATACAATACTTTGAAATTTATATATCTAACTAAGGGTGTAAAAGAATTCTACAGCTAAAAATTTTAAATATTGAAGAAAGGAATGGAAGATGGTAGAAGTTGGAAATTATAGTTAAGGGATATACATGTATATACATGTACATATATGCATGTAACAAAATTAATGAAAAAAGAGGTCATGAATCTGAAAGAGAGCAAGAAGGGATATATGAGAGGGTTTGACGATTCTGCCTCAAAACAAGAATAGAACACTCAGGAGGCTGAGGTAGGAAGATTATGAGTTCCAGGTCATCCTGGGCCTCAAAAATAAAACAAACCCCCAAATACATCATATCACATACTATTAAAGCTGCAAGAGAACTTAGAAGCACTGTTCTGTGTGCTGTAGAATTTTCAAGTCCAAAGCTTCAAAGTCACAGACCTTGATGACTAGAGCTAGCTGAAGAACCTCAAACAGCTATATGGTCACCCAAAGGTCAATCTATAACAAGTTGACTATTATAACTTGTATTGAACTTTAAGTATAAATGCACATTCATAATTTTTCTAGGGAGGGATCAACTTTGATACCACCACAGCAACGCAGGAAAAATGATCAGTTTTTCTCAGAGGCGTTTTCCATGTGAATATGTCTTCGTTGGGTGGAACTTTTCCTATGCAGCACCAGATTTTAGCACCGTAATATTTGCCTCAGAAAGGGACCAGCAGAAGGCTCAGCGAGTAAAAGCTCTTGCCATCAAACTTGATGACCTAAATTTGCTTCCCAGAATCCACATGGTAGGAGGAGAAAAGAGACTTGGATAACTTGTCCTCTGACTTTCTTAGGTGTAGCATGGACTATGTATACCCCTTCTCCACCCTCATAAGAAACACAAATAAAAGACAATTTACAAAATTTAAACAAAAAAAAATGACAGTAACACGTTCCTACACCTCAGGCTGCTGTGACAAAACATCCCAGACAAGGTGGATTAAATAGTAAATGCCGATTTCTCAGTTCTGGGGAGTCTAAGTAGACGGGTATTTCCTGAGACCACCTTTCCTGGTTTCCAGATAGTCCTTCTCATTGTATCCTCATATAATAAAAGAAGAGCTAGAAAGTCCTCCAGGGCCACTTTGACAAGAACACCATTGTCATCCCTGAAGGCTCCACTCTCGTGCCTCTCATGCCTTCATTACCTTTCCTAATACCATCATGTTGGGGCGGGGAGGCAGGGTAGTAACACATCAGTTTTCAAAGACTCAGACCTTTGATTCATAATCACTGTTAGTGACAGTTATCTCAATGAAGTATTTTAAAGTTTTTCTGTATTATTTTGTGTGTATACATGTAGGTCCCTGTGCCACGTATGTGTTGGAGCCTGAGAAGGCCAGAAAAAAGACATCAGATCCTCTGGAAGTGGAATTACAAACAGTTGTGAGCTGCCATGTGGGTGTTAGGCATCAAATCTGGGTTCTCTGGAAGAGAGCAGCCAGTGTTTTTAAACAGTGAGCCATTTTTCCATCCCCCCATAATGTATTTTTAAGTATAAGTATACTCAGTATTAAGGCATGCATGAAAATGTCAAACTGACAGCAATTGGCAAACAATCACTGTAAACGTCAGGACTTTATCTTACTGGGATATTTGCATTGATTACATACCTTAAGACTCTCAGCAGCATGAAGAAATCTGCAATGCAGTTTGTGCAAACAAGATTAAAAGCCCATCCCAAAAGAGTTTAATTTGAACGTCTTACCTGAATAACTTAGCTTGCCCCAAAGCTACTGCTTACATAATTTCAAAGAGTTAAATAAGTTTATGTATGTGTATATAACTGTTTTAAAATACTCACAAGATCCAAAGCTGAACCTCCACCTAGGTATTCCATTATTATCCATAGTTTTGAGCCCTGTAAAGACATAAAACAATTTAATGATTACATGCCTGGCCCCAAATCACCCATTAGAAAAAAATTAAAACTTACATAGTAACCAGTCTACTGGTTATAAATACAGGCTTTAACATGGTTCTTTGGGATCCAGACCATACATTGTTTTTCATAGAAAATTAGAGTCAGATTCTAATCCTGTACTTCCTGCAAAACTACTTAAACAATACAGCTAACCATATACAACTAACACGTGTCACTTTAACTATTACTAACTCTTATAAAATCCACAAAATTAGCAATCACTTGAAGTCATTATTTGAAGTAATACTGAAAGAAAAGTATAATGACATCAAAAACTAAGGAGCAAGTGGACAATTTTGAATGCTTTCTGTGTAATTTTAGAGTTCGAAGACACGCGACATTTTACATTGTTCCATTTGTTTTAAGACATTTTAGAGCCTTTTCCAGCCATGATTAATAGATATTTTTGCACACACATGGAATCCAGAAAAAAAAACAACTATCCCCCTCCAAAACGTGGGGGGGGAGTATATAGTTTAATATGATAGTTAAGTTCCAAACCGAGGACTTCACTGTGAGCTGAACAAAAAAAAGAAAACATTTTATAGGGGAGCTATAAAGAAATGCACTATAAAATGCACACACGCATGCATGCACACACATGCATGCACACACATGCATGCAAATGCATGCATGCACACACGCATGCACACCATCCAGCTCTATTGGATCAACACTAGATGACTAGGAACACAGCTCAATAGCAGAGTGCTTGCCTAGACCCTATGAGGCACCAAACACCTCCCTCTCCTAATAAAACCTTTTAAAAATAAATCATCAACTTCCTCTTTCTTTCAGACATAGCTTGAAACACTCCTTTCTCTCTAGTACTTCATGAATGGTATTTGCTGAAACTTTGTGAGACCACAGAACCGACTCGAGGTGGAAAGGCAGGTTTAACAAGGCTGATGGCAGGTCACACCGTGAATGATTTGTGTTCTGTGAGCCCATTTCCAAGTAAAATATTTAAGTTTTTGAAACCTGTGTTTCTTCATTAAAATAATGCCTAGGTTCCAGGGGAAGGCAGGCAGCGAACAGATGCTTTCCAAAGACAACTTCAATGTAAGTGCATCCACAGAGGCAAGCATGAAGTGCGGTAGAGATATGGCCTACAGTTTTATACATCAACAATTTTTTTTCTAGGGGAAAATACAGTCATTGCTGTCTTCAACTTATGACACAAGTACTATTTTTGTCACTTAAAGGCCCAGTTGTGATCTGAAAGGGCTCAAGCCACTGCTACTAGCCCTCATCCTCTTAAAATCCCTCAGTCGTGTTCAGAAGTTTCATTTAAAATTTCGAACAGTCCCATGAGCCTGGAGCTTTATTACGGCAGGGAACGGACTCCAGAGATACAAACACTCATGAGAGAAGGTTAAAGAATCAAGAGTTGGGTGAACTCTGTAGTAGGAAAACCGGGATGTAGCTTAGAGTTAAGAATTAGGGAGAGAATGTTCACATATATCAAATACAGGACACAAAGGATGTCTTTTCTCTTCCATATGTATATGTATGATATGCATATGTATATTCCCGTTTTCATGTGTGTGACTGTGTATAGAGGTCTGAAGTTGAATGGCTTCCAGCATTGCTTTCTACCTTATATACAGAGGCAGGTTTTTTAGTTTCTTTCCACTAAACTTTGAACATACCATCTTGGCTAGTCTGGTTAGCCAGCTTGCTCTAGGGATTCTCTGTGCTTCTTATAGGCCAAATGCACTCACAGAACTTGTACATGGGTTGTGGGGATTTGAACTCTGGTCCTGTTGCTTGCATGTCAAGCATTTTACCTGCAAACCACCTCTCTAACCCTTTTAATCCTTTTCTTGATTCTGTTTCTATGTGGGATATGTAAAAGAAAGCGTTCCCTATCCTCTTCACGCCCCTCCAGTAATCTTGACATCCATCTGTTCTGTCATAGCAGTCCAACTTGAACCGAGGAAGCAAAGAACCAGGAGCCCTATGTCTACATTAGAAAAGAAGATAAGAGCGCCCACAATAGTAGGGGACGAAGCCGAGATCTAGGAGTGGTTCATGCAACTTGCTTTTATGTAGAGCAATTGGACATTGAGACAGCGAAAACGGCGAATGTGATGCATTTTTACGCGTTTTCATGAGGAAGAAAAAATTCTTATAATTACTGATAAATGATATGGGAGGTCCTTTTGTCTATGTGTTGTTTTTATTGGTTAATGAGTAAAGGAACTGGCTTGGCCTACAGCATGGGAGGAGGAAGGCAGGGTTAGAGAGAAGCCATGGAGCTGCGGGAGACAGATGTGCCACAGCCACATGACGATATACAGATTAATAGAAATGGGTTAAATTAATATAAGAGTTAGCCAATAAGAAGCTAGAGCTAATCAGCCAAGCAGTGATTTAATTAATACAGTTTCTATGTGATTATTTCTGGTCTAAGCTAGCGCCGGGAACCAACAAGCGGCCCTTCTCCAACAGATAAATTAAGATTTGTTCATTTGCCACAAACTTGTTCCTAATAAGTAACTATACTCTCTCTACCACATGAACTCAGAGTGCTTCTTGTGTGCCTGACATTTAAAAGAAAGTCCCTATAAAATATGTTTCTATTTTGCTGTTCTGCATGAACGAAAGAACCTGTTTTTCAAGTTAAAAAAACAACACATGGCATTTTGTGTGTACCAGTTCTAAATGGAAGCTTTCCAACTGTCACCAAAATGGATGCGTAGAAAGCTTTTAAGCAGTGACCTTACAGAGCAGGCTATATGGCTGAGATTTCTCAAGTCCCATCTAAGGAACTTCTACATCTGAAAATAAGGCTTCCTACCAGTAAGCAAGGTGGTTCACTGGAACTTTGAGACAATCAGGGGACTTGATAGGTTTTTGCAGCTACCTTCCTTAGATCTCTCCATTTCTAGAGGTAAGATTTACAGGAGGATTTTGGGGACATCTGAATTCCTGCTAAGAAGGCATGAGCCAGGGCAAGGCCTGAAGGAGCACCATAAAAAAAAAAGAAAAGAAAAGAAAGGAAGCTTGTCCCACAGGGAATCTGCAGTCTACATCTATGCGCATAGGGTCCAAAAACAAAAATAAAAACAAACAAACAAAAAAGGACTACAAATAACAGAAACCAAGACAACCTAAATATTATTATTTGGGGGTAGGACAGCTTCTGCATTTGATTTCTGATAACAGAAGTTAGTATTGCAGAATGCAAATAAATGTGCTAGATTGAAATGGTGTCGATATATTGGTCTACAATTCCAAAAGTGCCAAGTGACTATAATCCATAACCATAAACCCATCACTGTTAAGGGCAGGAAATCTCTGTAGGGAAACCTCCACTTCCCTTATAAAAGAAGCCATGCATTTGAATGATGGTTTGAAGGAGAAAATTTAAGTTATAGGAAACTGTGCCCAAATTTAGAACACACGAAAAGAAACGACTCCAAGACCAACAAAATGGCTCAGAGGGTGGTAAAGACACTTGCTTGCAAGTCCAAAGACCTCAGTTTGATCTCCGAAATCTACATGGCAGAAGAAGAAAACTGACTCTCACAAGTCCTCTGACCTGCACATGCACACCATGGCATACACACACACACACACACACACACACACACACACACACACGAGGATTATTTATACTGTATACAAGTCAACACAAGTGGGTGGCCTACTCCAATAGCCTGTAACACTAACGACATAAACTAGAATGTAGAGTTGTAATTAGCCAGTCACAAAAGGGTCAGGATTGTGTGGTTCCATTGTATAAGGTACCTAGAGCAGTCAAGAGCAGAGAAGTAGGCCCTAGGATGGTGGATGCCAAGGAAGCTAGCTACAGGGAGTTATTATATCTTGGTACAGAATTTCAATTGGTAAACACATCCTAGAAATGAATAGTGGTGATGGTTGAACAACAGCACGAAAATGACACACTTAAAAATGGATACTGAGCATATCATCTACCCTCCAGGGCAGAGTCCATGGCAGAAATAGTTTGCCAGCACAAATTGGACTCCATGTTTTGTTTTTATTTTTATGAGAAAGAACATGAAGTTGGTTAGGGATAAGGAGGTGGGGGAGGAGTTATGGGAACAGGAGAAATATAAAAAATAAAAACATTATTAAAATGAATACAGAAAATGGCTAAAATAGTAAAGTTACATTATTCATTGCCATCATTTTAAAATGTAGCATGAACGAGTTTATAGAATTAATTAAATGGGAGAGTAGAGATAGCTTTATGAAGAATGGGGCCAGAAACTTTATGCCCTCCACAGGGTTCTGCTCCAGCTGTGAATCCTTTGTCCATAGCCCATGCTTCACAAAGTCATACCTCCAGGAGCTCAAATGCTGCTCCCCAGTGTTAGTGTTACTGCCCTCTATACACTCTAGTTTAAGCAGGGAAGAGGAAACAAACTTGAAACACACACCTGGAGCTGAGGAGGGAGGCTGAATGTTGAAGCTGACAGAATAAAGTGGATGAGATTGACTGGACAAATTATGCAAAATGAGATGAAGGCACATAGTAGCATTCAATAAATGCACGTCTGTTGAAAGATGGGGCTTCTTAGAGATGGGTTATGTTAAGCCTAAAATCATTTCATTTTGAGAAAAGGGCATTTTACAAAGGAGAAAGAAATGGACTTCAAGCTTTATAAGAAAACACCAAACACATTTTCAAATAAAAAAAACTATTCCAGAGGCATTAAATATACTCTAGATAAAACCACAAAGTTTGATGAAAAAATAGCACGAAGACCATACAACTATAGATTTTGCTCTGGAACATTTCATTTCATTCACTCAAGTTTTTAAACAGATGCTGGTTGTAGTCTATACGGACCTATGGGAGGGACCACATTCCCTTAACATAAACAGAAATCTAAAGGCACTTTCAGCTGCAAATAAAGGCATGGCCCAAATTCCGTTCAATGCCTGAATGAGTTTCATTTAAAAATGACATTGAACTAACAAAATATTTAAAGATTCTAAAAGATTCTAGCACTATTAGGAGACCAAAAGGAAAGCCCGTGTACTCCTAGCACTCTGTCAAGAAACTGCAGTGAACGAAAACGAAAGGAAAACACTGTGGTCACACTGATGTGTTTGTCTGGTTGTTTTACTCTTGTTTTTAAAGCTGGAATCTACAGTGAGCTCAGTCAAAATGAATACCTAGTACATTTTTGCATGTCTGAAGGAAATCGCTACAACTGCACACAGTTTGAGAGAACATATAATTTTCTCTCAAATGCAGTCACTTTTTATCCTAGCTTATAGTAAAGTCACTTTTTACCCCAGCTTACAGTAAAGTCTTGGTTATGTATGGTAGCCAGTGTAAATCCCAGATCCTATGTTGCTCAACTAAGCCGACTCACAAACTCCACTGCCATCTAAAATGCATGGACAGCCCCCCCCCCAATACGTATCCAAATCAATTGACAAAGCCATTCCCTCATGATACTAACAGGATGTGGTCTCAAGTTACGCTGACTGCTTTAAACAGAACGCTGTTAGATTTGATGTGGTTTTAGTTTACAAAAAAAAATGCATGCCTATGCAATCACAATATGACAATATCAATGGAAAATAATGAGTTGGTTAATTTCAGTAAAATAGTTAGCCCACCATGGAAGTGAACAATAGTAATCCAAAAGCTACACAGGGTAAGCTCAGGAGGACCATGCGTTCGGGGCCAGCGTGGATTATACTTTTAGGCCTAGGATTTAGCTTAGTGCTAATAAACATCAACCATGTGCGCGCGCACACACACACACACACACACACACACACACGACTCAAAGAGGAAGTGACTCAAAATCAGATAAGAGTCCTACATTTTGTATGTATAGCCATTTACCCATAACTGTATTTATAGAGTTTATCATGAAAGAAAAAGGTTCCTCAAATACCCTTTTCCAGGACTTCCACTAATGATTAGTAAAGGAGCTGAAAATATTTCAGTTTTATACATTAACAGATATTTTGGATATTAGTGTTCTACCAAGGAATGCTCTAAAGAATTCTACAGTCACTATGTGGGACCAAACAAAGCATTAGTTTGTACTTATTAACAGCTGGAGTAATTACTAGAAGACTAGTATGTAGCTCCTACTAGGCTAGGTTTGAAGGCAGTATTTTTTTTTTTTTTTGGTTTTTCGAGACAGGGTTTCTCTGTGGCTTTGGAGCCTGTCCTGGAACTAGCTCTGTAGACCAGGCTGGTCTCGAACTCACAGAGATCCGCCTGCCTTTTGAAATGTAATCTCTTACAAATAGAAACCCACGCAACTGCAGCACATTCGTCTGTGGAAGAAGCATGAGTAAACAAAGGCTCCTAGTAATTACTGAAATCTTCACCGCCATGCTACTGCTGAGTTAGAACAAAGTATTAAAAAATATTTTAAATAGAGTCTATTGAATATTTTAAGCCAGCCACCGAAAATAGCTTATCTGATCTAGGTGCCTAAAAATAACAAGGGTTCAGGTTTGCTCTAGAGAGAGTCTGGAATTACCAGTACTCAATCCAGAATGAGCAATAATACATATGACCAGAAAATTCCCAGAGCTGCCTACAACAAAGCCCACTGTAGGAATTAGGGGGAGAACGCACAGGCACTGAGATGGAACAATCACTCCAAAGCATTCCATACAACTAGATGAACTTCTAAGTTAGATATTTTAGGGATGAATATGAATGCAAATACTATGCTACAAAAAACAGAAGTTTTCGTATGTAGTAAAATATGATGACAGCTAACTCGTAGGAGTAAATGCTGAAATTAGATGGAATTTTCCGTTCTCATCACCTCTTCCTTGAGGCACCTTCTTCAAGTTATTCTTGATGAAAAATACACAAGTAAGCACTTGCTTATTTGCACTTATTAATATGTAGCTTTTGTTTGATTTTAATTTTTGCAGTCCTGTGAATGGAACCCAGTAAGACAAGCATGCTAGGCAAACTCCCAGTCAATGAGCTACACTCCTGCCCATTTCATCTGTAATCTGCTATATGTAGACACTCAGTATTATATGGTATGATAAGTATCCATATACTTTTATCATAAAATTTGTACTTTTTATGTAATGCTGGACTGAGTGCTCTCTGGCTACAGGAGTACGCTATTCATTTTACATCTCCAGCACCTGGTACCCCGTATGACACAGTGTCTAGCTGTTGAATGACTCTAGAGCAAATTCACTCCCTATTCAATCTAATGTATGCAATATGTTAGTAAAATAAGTTTTTCAAAGTCAGTAAAATTGATGATTCATATCAATATAAGCTAATATAAATACATAAAGTTCAAGGAAGCAATGACACTTAGGTCACCAAGATGGAGGCATAGAAGACACCAGTCTTCACCTCTCTCTATTTCGTGCTCTCTCTCTCTCTTTCGTTCTCTCTCTCTCTCTCTTTCTCTCTCTCTCTCTCTCTCTCTCTCTCTCTCTCTCACACACACACACACACACACAAACACATGCACGCATGCATGCACGCATGCACGCACACATAATGGGTGCACACGGTGGGATGGAAGGAGAGAAGATGAGAGAGAACATACCCACAAACTAAAATAACTCACTAGCCCTAACTGTAGCAGCACAGGAGACACAAAGGCAGCAGGATCTCTCCCCAGAAAGGGTCACTGGCATACCTGTGCAGCTGAGAGATGACCATGAATGAAAAAGAAAGAGGAAGGCTATCAATATCGCCATGCAGTAGGAACCACCGCGGCCCCAAATGAACTATTCCAGAGGAAACTGACATCGTAACTGCTGAAGTGATCAGCAGCTAGTCTTCCTAGGGAGCTCCAGGGAGGGCAGGCACAGTAACCCAACCTTGCTCATGAAGCAAAAAAGCTGTTGAGACTCTGGGAAAAGGACCCTCCGTTCTCCCAAACCATGCCAGTTCCTCAGCCTTGGATTAATGGCTGCTCTATGAGGGTCCACAGTCCAGACCTGGGTTCTGTAGCTGTTCTAGATCGAACCACATGTCACTGCCAGGTGGGGTCACTGCCTCAGACCCCTAGTTCACACTCAGGTGAAACTAAAATTTCTCTGTGTGCACCTGGGCTGCACACACTAACTCGCCTGGTGGCCACAAGGGAAAGCAAGCACTCTGGAGGCTAGATGTCTCAATGGCTACATTGTCTTCACCATATCTCCGACAACCCAGGCACCACCATACGAAACCGGAAATCTTTCTGCACGTGCCTGTGCTCCAGACAAGCACTCCTGTCTCTAACGCAAAGTTATGCCGCTGTGGCAGTAAAGACATGCAGTGAATCCATTATACCATGGCAACGTAGCCACCCACAACTCAAAGATTTTATACTGCCGCCATAGCAATCTGGCTCATACTGGGCTGGATGTAGTTTCTTTTCTTTCTTGTTTATTTATCTCTTGCTTATTTTATTTCTTTTTAGTTTTTGACAATAAGAAAAGAATTTATTTATTAAAGAATGCATCTGTGAGTCACTGGATTAATGAACGCACTTGACATCTATGGCTTTGGGGTAGAACACATTATTCTAGGTGGGATGGGAAAGTCTCTGCAAATATTGCACCATCTTATGTGAATGAAGGATTTGATCACATGGATCTTAGTGTTGTGGAGGAAGAAATAAAGAACCTGGGGATGGTTCAGGTAAACTATACTATGTGCTTAATATGCATCATAAGCTGGACTAAAGGATATAAAAACGGGGACATGTTCAGCTAAACGTCAATGAGTTCACAACCTGGTGAAAGGAATGCATAAGTAACAACCATAACTCAATACTATCTATATGCTCCCTCCACTCTGAGAAAGATTAGACTATTACATGTGGAAAGCCAGGGGTACAGCTTTTATGTGGCAATGTGGCCTAAAAACCAGAGACCTTTTTCCTCTTCCCCTGTACAAAAAGTTCAGGAATGGAAGACAGCAGCTGAGCTCTGGAGTACTTTTAAAGAAGCGGCTGTTAACTCTAACAATGGTTCAGTTGACACCACAAATGGAGCTAATTCTGCCTAGACGGTAAAGATTACCAAATCCTAATTTAAGTCCCTGCCTTCTGAGTTGGGTGTGGCGGTGCACACCTTTAATACTAGCAGGCAGATCTCTATGAGATCAAGGCCGGCCTGTTCTGTCTACATGGTGAGTTCCTGGAGAGTCAGACTACACAGTGAGACCCTGTCTCACAAAAAGAAAAAAAGGAAAAAAAGATACTGCCTCTTAAAATTAGAATGAAAAGAAAGCAAAAAATATATAATGAAAACACCTTATGAAATAATATAGCATGAACACATTATGAAATAAAATATAATATAATATAATATAATATAATATAATATAATATATAATGAGCACATTACCTTTAAATAGGACCCATAGTATTTCGTTACATATGAGCTGTCGCACTTACTCAGAACAGTTATTTCTTGTTGAATGTCTTCTATTTCATCTTCGGCTTCCTCAAGGTCAATGATTTTAATTGCAACCACTTGCTGGGTACGGTTGTCGATTCCTTTGAAAACTTCTCCAAAGGAGCCTTTTCCAATGCGCTCTAATTTTGTGAACAGTTCTTCTGGATCCGCTATATTATTCTAAGGGGAAGAAAGCAGAGAGGAAACACAAAAGCTTTGAATCAATTTTTCTTTTCGGTTTATTTTTATTTTACGTGTGTTTATTTTTATTCGCCTGCAGGTATGTAAGTGTAGCACACGTGTGCCTGGTACCTATGGAGAACTGAACAGAGGATTTGATTCCCCACAACTGGAGTTAATGACAGTTGTGAGCTGTCATGTGGGTGCTGTGAATTGAACCCGGGTCCTCAGCAAGAAGAGCCAGTGCTCGTAACCACTACGCCATCTCTCCGGCTGCATGAATCAAACTTTCTAAATCGAGAAAGATGAATCAGATTAAATATAGACTACTTTATGGAAGTTTTCATTTTTTATCCCCCCAATATATATCAACTGTTGCTAAGGAGGTAGAGAAGAAGGAATTGTTATATACAGTTAACAGGAAAGTGAATGAGTATAACCACTATAGAGAATAGTAGGGACAGAAAATCAAAAAGAGACCTACCATTTGATCCAGGTATCACACATTAGAGTTTGTCTTTTGAGGAAAAGAAGTAACTGTCTCAGAGACATGTGCACCCTCATGCTTTTTCACAATAGTTAGGCAGTACTCACAATAACTAAGATAGGAAATTATTCTAGGGACCATCAAGAGATGACTAGATATGAAAAATGTGACGTATAGACACATGCACACAAATAAAATACTATTCAGCTATCAAAAGGTTAGTATAGTATCCTTTACAGGAAAATGGAAGGAGGTAGAAGGTGTTACGTAAAGTGAGACAGTTGCAAAAAGACCGATTCTCCACACACTTTTACGTAAGTATGCTTTGAGAAGGCAATTGGAATATGTAATAATGATTACTTAAGGTTCGGGAGTGTGGGAGGAGAGCATGGGGGAAGGTTGGAGGACAGGTAGCCAAACACAGCAGAGAGGAGTTTATAAGTTCCAGTATTCAGTATGTGTGGGCAGGGAGTATAGCTCACAGTAAGCTCATACATTCTATGAATAAGAACTCAAACACAAGGTAATGATAAATAGATAGGAATGTCATTCACTTGATATGCTCTGCACATAAAGTATACACATGAAATACCGTACCATACCACATAAATATGTACTACTGTAATGTGTCTTTGATTTTTTATGTTTAAGGAGGTATCAATATTAACTGCCCCAGGTGAATCTTACACACTGTTCTTTGTGGATTGAATTATCACATCATGTATATAATTACAATAATTTTAAAGAAAAATATAAAATAATTTTTCAAGTCATCTTACAGAAGGGAGCTAGACTTAAACAAAATACAATCTAGAACTAAGCATAAATATGTCCATTAGCAAAACCTAAATGCATAAATGTACTGACCTTTCTTAATACAGAGATAGCTTTGCCTAAAAAGATGCAAAATTTGTCCCATGATGTACTCACTCATATTTGGTTTCTAGACATAAATAAAGGACATTGAGCTTATAATTCGCGATCCTAGAGAAGCTAAATAAGAAGGTGAATCCAAAGACAAACATATAGGCATCCTCCTAAATATTAACCTTCATCAGGCGATGAAAGGAGACAGAGACCCACACTGGAGCACCGGACAGAAATCTCAAGGTCCAAATCAGGAGCAGAAGGAGAAAGAGCACGAGCAAGGAACTCAGGACTGCAAGGGGTGCGGTGCACCCACACACTGAGACAATGGGGATGTTCTATCGGGAACTCACCAAGGCCAGCTGACCTGGGTCTGAAAAAGCCTGGGATAAAACCGGACTTGCTGAACATAGTGGACAATGAGGACTACTGAGAACTCAAGAACAATGGCAATGGGTTTTTGATCCTACTGCACGCACTGGCTTTGGGGGAGCCTAGGCAGTTTAGACGCTCACCTTACTAGACCTGGATGGAGATGGGCGGTCCTTGGACTTCCCACAGGTCAGGGAACCCTGATTGCTCTTTGGGCTGATGAGGGAGGGGGACTTGATCGGGGGAGGGGGAGGGAAATGGGAGGCGGTGGCGGGGAGGAGGCAGAAATCCTTAATAAATAAATAAATTAAAAAAAATTGTCCTATGAGATAACCATTCTATATTCTTATTGCTATGGCTAAAGAGACCAAGTTGAAAAGGAAGATTTTCAAACCTTTCAAACAGAACATTATTAAAGTATACTTGAGGGGCCTGTTAGTCCAAAACTTTACTTTGAGCTTCTTCAAAACCTAAAAGGATACTACCTAGTTCTAGTCACTCCATCAAATTTGCCAACTAAACCTAAGCCTACTGTGAGTTCATTTACTCTATGTTCCTTTGCTATAATTTCCCCAAGCTTCATCTCAACATGGATTTCAGGAGACAGTTAGAGTCTGCATATCCTTTGTGTGTCACTTCATTAGACAAAGAAGCCGCTGAAGCTTTCCTATCAAGTGCTTTGTCTTGAACTTCTCTTTGTCATTTTACCCAAAAATAAGGCTAAGCACATGATCTATCGACCTTCTAGTCTTCACATATTCTCCTCGATGAGGTTTAATTTTCTTTTTCTGGGAGATGCACTTTCCATTTAGGAGTATTTTTCTCCATTTCAAGATTAGTGTGAGTCCCTACCTACCTTTAGTAACCATGTCCAATGTGCATCTCTACATGGAACCAACCAATACACCTGGAAATTCCCATAGGGCTTCTCGAAGGAGTTGTAACACAGTTCTAAGTGGCTATAAGTGATGCCTCAAAGCTCACATTTTGTTAGTACTTCTTCCCAACAACTCGATTGCCACCATTACAGATTCTTTGGAGCGACCATTACAGATTCTTTGGAGCACGGGTGCTTTCTCTTATTTGCAGTTTGGTTTGGTTTGTGGTTGTTCCCACCCATTGCCGAGCTGCCCTGGAATTGGTGATTCTCTGTCTCGGACCTCTTGAGTGTTGGGATTAGAGGTGTGAACAACTGGGCACTACTCCTTTGGAGTAGCCTTTTGCCAGCACCGTGCTGTGATTACTACCACATGTATGGTGGCTAGCCCACAGCTACCTCCTCCTAGTTTGTGTGATAATTTTTCTCATTGTAGTAGCTTGTGCTGAAAATAGTCAAGAAATAATCTGCGGATGATTTCACCTCACTATAACTTCTTAAACGTAGAGAACTTAGAAAAAGATTTGATGTCAAGTTTTTGCTTTCTTTCTTTTAGGTGTATATGGGTACATGTATGTGAATGAGTGTGAAGGTTCACATTTGACTATAGGTACATGTGCATGTGTGTGTGCTTGCATGGGAAGGCTAGAGGTCAACCTTGGGTGTCAGTCTTCATCAACTGCCCAAATTGTTTTGTGTTTTTAAGTTTAAAAATATTATTATTATTATTATTATTATTATTTGGTGCAAGTGCCACAGTGCATATGTGTAAACACATCCTTTGTAGAGTAGTCTCTCCTTTCATTTTTATGTGACTTCCAAGGACTGAACTGAGATCACCAGGCTTATGTGACAAGCATCTCACCTTGTTGAGCCACCTCACTGTTCCCTACCTTGTATTTTAAGTCTCTCAGCTGGGTGTTGTGGCGCACCCCTTTAATGCCAGCACTCAGGAGGCAGAGGCAGGCAGATCTTTGTGAGTTCAAGGCCAGCCTGTTTCGAAAAAAACAAAACAACAACAACAAAAAAATCCAAATAACCAAACATGGTCTCTTACTGGAACATGAGGCTCATCTAGTAGGCTAGGCAGTCTGGCCAGCAAAGCCCCAAGAATCTGTCTGCCTGTCTCTACCTCCCCAGCACAATGATAACAAGTATGTGCATACCTCACCCACCTCACCCCAGTTCTGGGGATCGAACTCGGGTCCTCATGTTTGCCAGCACTGCAGTGCAAGCACTTTAATGAAGCTGTCTTCCCAACCCCTTGAGTTTTTTTTAATATACTTGCAAAAGAAATCTGAACTTTGGAAAACACAGTCTTGATTACATATTGGATGTACTGTCTAATAATACATTCTGAGGAGTATACTAATAACTAACTTCCTAATAAGAACTTAATAAGAAACAGAAATTAAATTCTACTTTTCTTAATTGGTGTTTTAAAGGGCTTTAAGTGGAGTTATTAACCCTAGGGAGGACACAGCTGTTCACTGCTTTCTGTAATAAATGGGCTCCTGAAAATATGTAAATCACAGATTTAAAAACCAAGTCACACTTCACATGTTACGGAGGCTATGAAGTGAATCCTAACTTATCAATATAGCTTAAGAATTTCAACTGAGGAACAGCAAGTTGGAGATAGAAAGACAGAGCTGTCATTTACAGAGTAATTCTACTTCAACTCTAATTCTGGGCTTACGAGTTCTGCAAAACTTTGACTTTCAGAGTAGAAGAAATCTGAAACAAAGGGTTTTCTCTACTGTAACCTCCCTCTCCTAACTATCTGGAGGGTAGAAACCTTTGTCTCACTGCCAGTTCCTGAATCTTTGATAAATAACACCCAATTTCTAAATTTCTCTTTATTCATTCTTCAGGTGAGGGGTATCTAGGTTGCTCCCAGGTTCTGGCTATTACAAATAATGCTGCTATGAACATAGTTGAGCAAGTGTCCTTGTGGTGTGATTGAGCATCCTTTGGGTATATGTGTAAGAGTGGTATCGCTGGATCTTGAGGTAGATTGAGTCTCAATTTTCTGAGAAATCGCTACATTGATTTCCAAGCATACAAGGACAGATTTCCTTCTTGACAATTTGCTTGGTTTTGTTTTCATTATCATCATTTTCTCTTCATCTTTCTTTCTTTCTTTCTTTCTTCCATTCTTACTTTCACAGAGGCCTTTCTCTATAGTTGTTTTCTTTTTCTTCTTTCTTTCCTTCTTTTTCTTTCCTAGATAGACTTGCCATGTTATCCTGATCAGGATGGGAATCTCTGTTTCCCAAGATGTCCTCCATTTACATGGATCCTGCTGCCTCAGCCTGCTGAGAGTTGAGACTGTGGGAGCAGGCAATCATATCCAACTCTTTCTTGTATTTAGAATGAAGGCAAAGTCAAATAAAT